GATCAGTGCAATGCAAAATTTCCTTCTATCTGAATATATTTCAAAGGAACTTTGTCAAAACCCAAAAAAAAAGAGAGAAAAATGAAAAGAAAGCTCAGGATTATTCATTCTGCAACTTTCTTAATGTCTCCTTTCATTTCCTTCATATGTTTCGACCCATTCATTTGGCACATTTCTTGAAACAATCGTGTGTACGCTATATTTGCATTTACTTGTGCAGGTCCTGATACAATCCTGTATTACCTCTGGCACCAAACCCTTTTGTTGCTTTTTTCTTGACTCTTGATTAATCTGTTAGTTTATATCTATAAAGCTTATTCATTTCTTTTAATTCTGATTGTGCAATTTGGTGTAATGTTTCTGTGAATCAGAGGGAATCAAAAAAACCATCAATCGGGAAGGAGTACTTTCATCATATGAACCTTGAAGAAATTGTCACAAAGTACCCTTACAAGAAGGATTTGACAGAGGAAGAGATTGTTAAAGGTTATTTTCATCTTCTTTAAAGCGAGTCGCTCAACTAGATAAGGCTTTTTTTTTGCGGGATATGTTTTCATGTGTTATTTCATAATAAGCTAATTGACTATTCATTCTTACAGAAAGTCAAATACGATTAGCATTGATTGATTTCTTAAGGGGTCTCGTTGAGTTTGATCCAGCAAAACGGTGGTCACCTTTGCAGGTGATCGAACCTCTCACCCTTCAATACTTAAAATACACGTCTTTTTTGTAAATTCTTTATTTTCATGATCTAGATAGGTTTATATCATCAGCAGTAATATTTAACCCTCAATGAATGCTTTTCGTAAGAAATTATTCAACAGATAACTTAGTATGTTAGTTGAAAGGTAAACTACACCATCCTCCCCTGAGAATAGGTCTAATTATGCCTAGACCCCTCAGGTTTATAAAATTACAAACCTCCCCCAATGTTTAGTTATTATTAAAAAGTCAACCAAATTCATTAAATAACATTTTAACCCTGATCATTTTCTTTGATAAGTTACACCGACCTCCCTTGAGGTCAGCTCTACTTACTTTTAGATCCTCTCATTAAAATACTTTCATCACGACACTCCATGGCTGCGCATGAAAAATTACCATTTATTCTAGTAAATTTACCATTTTGAAGTGATATATATATATATATATATATATATATATATATATATATATATATATATAATTTTTGTTTTTAAATTCAAATACTATTACAAATTGGGCAAGTAGGGAAGGGGTAGAATTTGAACAGTAAACCTCTACTAGTAGTAAAGGCCATTCATCCTAGTAAATACTCAGCACCAAATATAGGACTCAATTAAGCAATCATGATTCAATTGTACCCATCATTAGTTGTGACTTGTGTATACTATGTTAGTTTTGTTCCTTTTCCATTTTTGTTCTATTCCTTAATACATTATATTCCAGTGTAATAACCCATGCATTGCTAGCTCCGACTTAACGACTAATTTTGAGCTAATGAGCAAGAATGTGATACTGTCTTCATTTAATTTGCCCCGAGTCAAAAGATTTTTCTAAATGATTTGTGTCTTTATTCCTCGGGTCTCTATTCTTTCTTGGTCCTCTTGTTGCCTGCATCACTCCTTCCTCATTGTACAACACTTATTTTTAAGTCTATAATGGTTTTGTAGCATAAGTATCCATGTGATTTAGACTTCTAGTGTTACTTGGCTAAAGACTATTATTCACATAATCTTATTATTCCTTTCAAGCACTGATACGTAAACATAAAAGAGGAGACTAGATATTCTGAATCTCGAGCTCCCGAAAAAATTGAGTGTAAATAAAATGAAAATATCCTGCATCAGATGACCAGAAACTCAAAATAGGAAAGCATTTAAAGCTAATTAATTGAGATTCTAATTTGGATTCAATGAAAGATTGTCTTGTGTTCTCAAGTATTTACATATTTCTATGTCTCTTTTTTGTTCTTGTTATTTGCTTGCTGTGAGATTTGATATTCATTGATGTATAATATTTGATCATTAACTTCATCTAGGCTTCAAAGCATCCCTTTATCACCGGGGAACCCTTCACATGTCCATATAAACCTGCTCCAGAGACCCCTTACATGGTGAGTTTATATTATTGAATTGCCTTTTCACTCTTTGGATTCTAACATGAAACTATTCAGCTCCTCTTTGGTTCCTGATCCATGACCTGCTTTACCGGTCAAAGAATTTAGGGTCAATTACAATCAACCCCCTGATGTATGTCATAATAACTTTAAGGTCCCTGTGGTATTCATAATTAAAAAACACCCCCTGAAACTAACGGTGCGTTAGAAACCTTAACGTCAGGGGGTGGTTGTAATTACGAATACCACAGGGACTTTAAAGTTATTACATCATACCTAATGGAGTAAATGTAACATTTTGCCTCTATTTAAATGATTAAAATTCTAATTCTTTTATGCCTTTTTTTAGTCCTTGGGTGCCCTAGAGGGTAATAGTAACGATTACACAACAAAAAAATAAAAAAATAAGTTGGTCCAACTTTTACTTCAATTTATTATAGCATACTTGATTTAGGGTTTTTACTTTCCAAATTTCAAGCTTCCCGCTTTTACTTCGGTTTACAGTTTTAGGGATTCTAATTTTTTAAAAATATAAAAAATTGAACCAATTATTTTTGTTTATTCATTACAATTACCCCCTAGGGCACCAACGACTGTAAAAAAATGGTCAAAAATTATAATTTTTGATTATTTAAATATTCAAAAAATGTTACATTACCTTCCTGAGATATATGATATAATAACTCTAAAGTCCATGTGGTATTCGTAATTACAACCACCCCTTAATGTTAGGGTTTCTAACATTCCTTTAGTTTTAGGGGTTGGTTGTAATTATCAATACCACGTGAACCGTAAAGTTATTATAGCAAACCTCAGTGAGTTGGTTGTAATTTACCCAAGAATTTATTATTTGCCGTGGTAAAAGTCAACCCTTACCAATAGTTGAGCACACATTCTGAAACAATTTGCTGGCCAAAATTATCTATTTATTTTGTTTTGAGAATTGAACACCGACCATAGTTCAAAATTATCCTTCTGACAAACAAAGGGTGATGAATTTTGTGAATGTTTTCAAGTGTCTACCTTGTTTTCTTTTTTCAGCCTGTTTCTCAAAATGTTAAGGTTGACCATCACCCAGCTGGGGGCCATTGGTTTGCTGCTGGTCTCTCCCCTAATGTAAGCAAATTTCTCCCTTGAAAATTGGCAGTTGGATTTCTTTGATTGTCTTGGGCCTAAACCATCTTTGGGTTTTGTTCATGTAGATTTCAGGCAGGAACCGAGCAGTGATGCCAAACAGCCCGCATTACCAATTAATGTCATATGTGCATCCAGGTAGTTATGGTAGCTTAGGAAGCCATGGAAGTTACAATGATGGCACGGGACTTGGAAGCAGCTATGGAAGTTATGGTGACAATTGCAATTTTCATGGATTTTATTCCCCCGCCGGTCCATCTGGAATGAATGTCTATGCACAAAGTGGTATCTCAATTCTTGGGAGTAGTCCTGATACTAGGCGCATCATGCAACCACCGCACGGGAATGGAATTGGTTTTAGCCCTGGAATTTTTGCGCCTATGTCGCTTGGTTCCAGTCCTTCGCAATTCACTCCTCCTAGCTCCTATAGTCATATTTCAGCTGGTTCACCTGGACATTTCGGTCCTCCTTCTCCTGTAAGAGGCAATTGTCAGGGATCACCTTTGGGAAAAATGGCATATGGTAGCCATTACAACAGAAGAAATAACTGGGCCTATCATGGGAATTATCAATCCCAAGAAACTGTATCATCTTCTAGCTGTCAAGGACTTGTTGCTGATATTAACACCTGTTGCCAGTCTGAGGGCAACTCTTCTGTATTTGTTGGCTCTCCATCACACCGACTGCCCATCCCAAATGCATCAACATGGAGAACACAACAAGGAGGCAGGGGTGTAATCTCTGATTACTCCTCTTCGCATATGCAAACTGTTCAAGGGAGTGGATACGACAAGTCTGAGGCTAGTAACTCGTTGCCCGATCCTGGAGATTGGGATCCCAATTACAGGTAGATATGTAAATTCAGCTATGCAGTTTTCATTGTGCGCTCACAATAATTCAGCAATCTCAGTTTGCATCAACACTTGATCTGTTTGATAAATTTCTTAGTTTTGCCTTTTTTTCATTGATAGAGTTATCACCGTTGCATATTTTTTGGTCGAATCCATACATTTGGTAAACAATCTCTTGTTATATGCTTGCTGATAAACTACCATGTGAATGCCATGACATAGCAATATTCCCACATTCTGGACAATGTCATTTCAAGATAAGGACAGGTCGTAAGTTACAAGTATTAAAAATACTGTTTATGTGATGGTTAATTATGAAGTTGTTGAGGTAGTGGTTTTGCATAATACGGTCGTCCATTTATCAGAAAGCACCTTGTCAGAGTACCTATTTTCTATGATTAAACTATCTACGCATCTTTCAGTGATATATAGCTTGTGTTTATATTGCATTACTTTTGTCTATTTCAGTGACGAATTACTTTTGCAAGACGATAGTTCAGATATGAACAGCATGGCTAGCGACTTTAACAAGGGGATGCACTTGAATCAACCTTTAATCTCTTCTGAAACAGGAAGATCCAGTCGCATATCAGATGCCTCAACGCAAAGGTCGGCATTATATTGTCAAATTTTTTATATAGCAAAACAGACTTTGAATGTGTACAAGACGGACAGGGATCCTGAATATATATGGCAGTAAATAATAGGGACGTGGATCGTCAATAAGTTTGTGAAGCTTTATTTGGTTCTGTGTATTTATAGTTGTAGAGGCTGAGTTAAGTTTAATGTTTTGTGGAGCATGATATAGGCATGATGGGCATATTCAGTCTGGAGAAGCAGGCAGTAGTAATGCAGCAGCAATCCATGGTTATGCCCATAGTCAGACAAAGAATCAATCATATTTTATGCCGAGCCGTTTGGGGCAGCAGCAGCAGAGGCAATATCTAGGGAGATCAGCACCATTTCGTGATGTAAATGTGCAGGCGGCCGCACATCCTCCTCCTCCTCCTCCTCAATATTCACATTCTCCTGGAAGCAAGGACGTACGTCCAACACAACCTGGGCTCCTCCCCCCTGGCAAGTTTATGTCATGTTATTATTTATTTACTCACTTGAAAGTGAAACACATTATTGTTCTCACACACAGTGGTACGGTGGTATTGTATTATTTACTTACAGGAGGACGTAGAGGCAATGTATCCAATGCTCATCCTGCTGCTGCATTTTATGGAAAAAAGGATCATGGAAGGAATGGCTGAATAAAATTGAATTACTTTTATAATTATTTTTTTTATTATTATTATTATTATTAATATATTGAAATACTGTCATCATGTCTGCCTCCGTTGTGGGTTATTGTCTTGTTGTCAATTTTCTAATGTACTAGTAGTATTCATTCACTTTGGTCTACTCGGTTGGTTTTTAAAAAATCCAAAAGCTAAAAAAAGCTTCATTTATTACACCAGAGCATTTCAAATGCCAATTAGTTGTGTTCAGGAATGGAATGTCATCATCTGCTTTTAACTGATCATCTATTCTTCAACATTTTCTCCCCTTTATTAATTAATACTTCAATTTGAACCTATATGAATTAACCCTAAACTGCTTAGCTACAGAGTTTTAGTCATCTAGATGAACCACAACCCATTGTTAATCATTTCATCTCTTCCACTCCTTTAATATTTTCACAAACTTTTTTCTATATCTTTTCAATATTCTCCTAAAATTCCAAATTAACGTTTTTGGTTTGGTAATTGTGAAATAGTAATACATCAAATATAAAGAAGGAGAATAGAAACACAAAGAAAGTAAGATAATTTCATGAATCTTAGTTTACCATATTAAATAATCCTCTCCACAAAAAGTGTGATCCTCAATGATAATTTCATGAATTTTAGTTCACCATATTAGAGAATTATTTCCACATAAGTGTGATCTTCAGTAATTTAGTTGTAAACTAACTGTGCGCCCACGACTCTTTATGATTCGAATAACTCTTTATCCAATTACAGGCCATATTTTAATCTCAATCATCGATCATATCGATTAACGCCCAATGAATCATGATTGACGTCTAACAACTACGTATCACAATTCCCTAGATGCAAATGAAATGTCTACAAGAACTTTAATTTATAATAAACGTACAATACGGTCTCTTTGACAAACATATGTCCCAATTGCATTACATCTATTGGTCTATCGAGACCTCTATTATTGTTCGATAACTGATGACATCTTAAAGTTAAAAAGTCCATGCGTGATTTAGAGAAACCCTTTTCTTTAAACATATACAAATACTATTTTTGCAACACCTCTCTTTCCCTTTTACATATATTTTTTAATTTATATATGCATCATTTATTGTTTTTCTTTTTTTTTTTTTTTTTTTTTTTTCTGGTTGCAAGTAAAAAGGGGACGTGGAAACTTGGAAGGCTATAGACCACCCAAAGCAAGACCAAAAATCTAAACCAGCCAATAGTTATTGACCTCTCCCTTTTTCCATATCCTCACACAAATAAGCCTTGATTTTAAACTATTATCTTGCTACCATATTATTTCCAACAAAATAAAATTGCAATAATAATAATAATAAAAATAATAAATAAAGAAGAAGAATAAGAAACAAGGGAGGGAGAGAAATAGGGTGATTTCAGTTGCAGCACAAGACAACTTCCTCTTCCCAAGCACAGGTGCAGGTAAGAAAAATCAAACACTTCATTCATGCCTGCAAGTATTTTGACATGCTTCATAATATCTAATTTTCTTGCACATTTGTCCCCGCCAATTGTTGTTTTCTTATAAAACCAATTAACTATCATCAATCACCACTTTGTTCCTTTGTGTTTCATCGACCGTATCGAAACCATTTTTATTATATTTATGAATTGTAAGCATAAGCTAATAGCGATCAATCAGTAGGTAGGGTTGTGAAATCTGTGGATCGATCCCCATCCAGATCATCTGTTACATAGTGGCAGCGTGTGGGTGATGTTACGGAGCTGGTGATGATCATGGCCACTGCTGCCGTTATAAACGGACTTAGCACTGGTAAAAGGCTCCTACTCAGTTCTAGCTTGTTCTATTCTGATGTTTCCGACAAGTTTGTTGCTTGCTCCACCGATTCACACTGTCCAATTGCTTCATCTAAGAAGCCCATCAATGCCAAAAAATCTTCCAATTTCTTCTCCAATCGACATCCCCACTCCATTAGGGCTCTTAAAGAACACGTGGACGCTGCCTCCGATCCTTGCACTCTGGAGCCGTGGCTAATTCATGGTTCCACCCTCTTAGGCGAGGAGGATGAAACATCTGATGAGTATTTGGTCGATGCTGTCCTTTTATTGCAAAAATCTTTGCTCGAAAAACAGTGGAATCTTTCTGCTGAGTCATCCACAAAGCAAACAGTTACTAGTCCTAGAGAGAGAACTCCAGCTCCAGCTCGAGCTCGAGCTCGCAAGAAAATTACTCAGGTCACTTGTTCTGGAACTAGTGCTCGATCCCGCAGAATGGATTCTAGGAAAAAGGCTGTTGGCCGGAATATTTCCAATTCCCATCATGATAATGTAAGGAAACAGTGGAGATCAATAATCAGTCCAGAACTTCTTCAGAATAGCTCGAGGAGAGGATATGTAAAGGGTGTTATAAGTGAGGATTTGCTCACCCATTCCCAAGTCGTTCAACTATCACAAATAATTAAAGCAGGTCTTTTGTTGGAAGACCGCAGATCCAGGTCATTCACATTTATTTACACTGTAATGTAAAACAACTGCTTCTATCTATTTCTATGCTTCCTAACTTCCATTCCATATTTCAGATTGAAAGAAAGATTGGGGTGTGAGCCTTCAGATGAGCAGCTTGCAACTTCCCTGCAGATTAGCCGTGCTGATTTGCAGTCAAAATTGATAGAGTGCTCACTTGCTAGAGAAAAGCTTGCCATGAGCAACATTCGACTTGTCATGTCTATAGCTCAAAGATATGATCACATGGGTGCCGAAATGGCTGACCTTATTCAGGTTAATATATTTTCATTTTATTATTTATTTATTTATTTTTCTTCTATCCAACAGGATAATGTGAAACTTCTTTCACTTATGCAGGGTGGTTTGATTGGATTGCTCCGAGGGATTGAAAAGTATGATTCTTCAAAGGGATTTAAGATCTCAACTTATGTTTATTGGTGGATTCGGCAGGTTAGATCGTATACCTAAGCTAAATTTGGTGCTTCTAACCAATTTTAGAAATCTGAAAAGAATATATTGCTCAGTTAGCAATTGATAGACTATCGAACTTTTATTCTTCTGAGCATAAAAGTTGCGTTGCTCTTTTATATGTAAATTAGTCAGTCAAAATCAAAGTAAGATTAAGATCACCACAAGATTCAACAAAAATAAATATGATTTTGACATGTTTTTCTATATTATGCTTCTAAATGCAAGATTTGTATAATGTCGTCCTGCCAACATTTTCGGCCCTGATCATATCAGCATTGCCAGGGAGTGTCAAAAGCTTTAGTGGAGAACTCAAGAACCCTAAGATTACCCACGCATCTACATGAAAGACTAAGTTTGATTCGGAATGCAAAGGCTAGACTGGAAGAGAAAGGAATAACTCCGTCAATTAGTGTAAGAGATTACATTTTAAAGATTGATATTTCAAGTCCTACATAAATATTAATTAATTGAATGACATTCAATATTAAGTTGTCACTGACATTTGATCCATTTCAGAGAATTGCTGAAAGTCTGAACATGTCGCAGAAAAAAGTGAGGAATGCCACTGAGGTACTAAGAATCCTGCTCTGAGATTTGTATCAATCCAAAATATACGTGTGATCCTAATAATAATAATGATGACGATGATGTTGTTCTGTATCCAGGCAAACAGCAAGGTATTCTCGCTCGACAGGGAAGCATTCCCATCATTAAATGGTATTCCGGGAAAAACTCTTCATAGTGTAAGTAAAAGAATGAGGCAGTCAAGTCATATTTATATTTGATTGTAGTGATGGTGAAAGAATGAATTTTGTCTTTGTTTGTGTGTTACAGTACATTGCAGACAATCACGTGGAGAATATCCCATGGCATGGGGTTGATGAATGGGCACTTAAGGTACACAACATAATACACATGTATGGGAACGTGATTACTTTACCATAATCACGATTGAGATAGCATTTGTATGTTTGCAGGACGAAGTAGATAAGCTGATAACTTTGACGTTGAGAGAGCGGGAGAGAGAGATTATCCGTTTATATTACGGGCTTGACAATGAATGCCTGACTTGGGAAGATATCAGTAGAAGGTGCCCCATCATTGCCTCTATCTGATTGAAATAACTAGTGATTGGTTCATTGAAATAACTTGTATATTATTGATTTAATCTTTCAGGATAGGTTTGTCAAGGGAAAGAGTAAGACAGGTGGGACTTGTTGCTCTTGAGAAATTAAAACACGCAGCCAGGAACACAAGATTAGATGCCTTGTTCATCCAACATTGATGGATGGATACCTTCATCCATATGGCCACAAACACAGTTTTTGTTTCTACTTTCTGTATATATAAATATAAACATAAAAGTCACATTTTACATAATATTATGGAGAGATGTTTATATCAGATGACATGGACTAGGACCATCTTTTGTTAGTATAGTTGCGCACTTGTGTTGCATAATAAATATCATGCATCAAAAGGACATGTACAATTCAACAAAAAATAACAACTCGGAAGTTTGCCATATGTTGTCTGATTTTAAAAATACAACTAACAAGCCAGCCAAAAGAGTGTACATACACAACTAGATGGATGTTCACTAGTTTAGTTAAACACGACCATCCCACAAGCATTCAGAGTTGTTCATTTTGCTCCCCATCAGCAGATTCTGGACCTGTTGTGGAGGATGTAAGCCCAATGCATTAGCCCGTTCCCAGCGCCCTAGTCTGCTCATCCCTAAGCACGGCCCGTACGCCATGTTCATGTCAAATTGTCTCAGAATCATCTCTTCCTCATCATACTCCTCGTCTGTTTTTTTTTTTTTAAATACCAAATCAATCAATCAATTATGCCCGTACGAAAACTTTTCTGAAGGTTTCTCACCAAAATAGATAGAGGAAATATCAATTCAGTAAATTAAAAAGGCGGTTCTGAAGGCAGTAAATTGCAAATTAGGGCTTCTCAACACATTCCTTTGTTCTTATCATCAAACAGGATACGCCTCCTCTTTAATTCTTCGTTAAACATCTGTGTATGTATATGTATATATATATATATATATATAAATAAGAAAAAAAGAAGAGGAAGGTAAGACCTTGAAGATCGGGAGAACCGTGAGATAAAAGAGCAGGAGGCTGGACGACGTCGGAGCCGCAGGAGGCTGAATGCTTTGGCTTCGCAGATTTGATTGGCTTCCCCGATTTGTTTGGCTTTGCCGATTTCTTCTTCTCTCTGAAAAAACCCTTCATGTCCGACGACGACGACGCCATTTCAATTTTGAATTTTGAATTTCGAATTTCGAATTTTGAATTCTACTCTGTTTCTCAGTCTGTGTGGCCGTCATTTTATATGTTCCAGTCCATTAAATTGACCTTGAAACTTAAGCTCATCCAAAAAATACTCGGCCCAATAAGATCAGAAAGGCCCAATAATTCAATTAATTGAACTTGATATTTACAATAGTTGGACGGCATGTATAAATTTACAGAGAGTGGAAGGACGTATAACAAATGTTTATGGCAATTTGCACACCTTATTCATCTTTATAGAGTAAACAAACAAATTAGATGCCTACACTACACTACTATATTACGATTTCATTTCAAAATGAGGGTCTTAGTACATGAAGTAATAAATCTCCTCCTCCTCGACAATTATTATTTTATCACGAATATTTAAAAAGGCTGAATTGTTGATCGCACAAATTAAACACAAGTTTCAGCAACCCACTCACAGCGTGTCATGGCATGGAGATAATCAAATATATATTGTATTATTATTATTATTATTATTAATATAATCCTAATATAGTTTATAGAAGAGTTATCACCAACTGCTAAACAAGTTCCATCATTCTGAGTGATCAGCATCCATCTTGTTCAAGTGGAAACCACCGTCACTGTTCTTGTGCACCTCAACCTTGAACTTCTCTTCTTTTCCTCCTCCTCTCTTCACCTTTAGGAGCATATCAAACTTGGCACAACTCTCAACAACCTGTCCAAACGGAAGTCCGATAAAGTTACTCCCACCCAATACACAAATTTCAGTTCCACATAATGTGATAAAACTTATATCAACTGCTTTTCTTTTTCTTTTTTTTTTTTAATTTAAAGAAGACCGTGCTTGATGTATAACTAACATAAGACAAAAGAGTTACTCAAGTACCAGTGCTGACAGAAAAGTAGCATTAAACCAAGTATGCACACAACGTGATATTCTACCAAGTATCGTATGACTTCCTTTGTCAAAAACTTAATGCTACAACAAGAGACTTGTACATCTAAAAAATAATTGTTTATCACAAAATCTTGAATCTTATTTTCAATCAAAAAGAGAAATAACGTATATTCAGGTAAATAAATGGAAAGTAAACAGATACCCACGTCACATTAGCAATCACATTATCCATTGATACTTCAACTATGCCAAACAATCAAAATAGGGACCTACCTCCGCATTTGCATGGACTACCTCACTAAGTTCATAAGGGAACAATGAGTTAGACCTCATCTGAATCGTCTTAACAGCATGATTAGCAGCATCCTGAACAACAGGATCATGCACAGGCACTGACTGCCAACCCCCGACCTGTTCATCTGATATGAAATGAAGCCATGGGAATCACAATGCAAATTCAATCAGAGATGCTAGTTATATTCATAACATGCTACATGTGTGCCACGATCATAACATTAGTCATCTATTTGTGCGAAACATTACAAACCATGTTTACCAACGATTTGTCATCACCAAAAGAATCCAGCCACATCCAACAATAAAATTTGGGGTCAAGAACAGGGCTTTTTCCACAAACAAAATAACAGGGCTAACTTTTCAGTAGAGATTAAATGTACAAGAGCACGATTGAAATACGATTTATTTGCGAATTTTTCAGTTTTGAACTAAATAAACTTGCAGATTTTTAGATAGAACACAAGAACAAAAGCGAAACAAACAGATCCTCAAAACGACAAATGGCAAATTAATCATAATACATAGTCTCAGTTTAGTTTCCCCCACCATTGATCAAGCCGATTACCTGCTGCTGGATGACCAGCACAATCTCGACCCATATTTTTCTTAGTTTATTTACTTTCAGCGGCCAGGACAAGTGTTATAATTCACAACAGAAGCAGGACATGGAAAAAAACAATTCGATTATCTCAGAGCACGATTACATTTTGCACACTAGTCAAGATAAAACAACAAAAAAATCCATTGTAAATGCGAGGGTTCATTCCAATGAATCAAAGATAAAGTGGAAACTTGTCAAGGAAAAGAGTTATAGAACTAACTAGAAAATCGAAGTACAAATGAAAGAAAAATATGAGGAGAGTGGTTGGCTAACCTTTCTTAACACCTAGGTCAGAGGAAGTAAAGGGGGGAACATCAGGAAGGTGCTTGAATTCTTGGAGTTCCTTAAAATGCATCCATGGTTTAACCCAAACTTTGGCCTCATATAGTTTCTTAATACCAGCAGCATCAACAACTTCAAGAGTAAGATGATGAAGTGAACCGGCAACAACTTGTTCTTTTGCATTCACAACCCTGACCAGCTCAAGTAATGCATTCTGAAAGGAAAAACCAACAAATTTATCAACAAATTTATTCATCTGCAGTAGTAGTAGAAGTAGGGTTGAGATAGAGATACCACCTCCTTGTTGTTGTGCTGTTCGACAGCAAAGCGGGCGAGGGAGTCGATCTCGGTATTGGTGTGTTTGAGGCCTCCGAGAGTAGCCATATCGTTGTTTTGTTGTTCTAAGTTATGAATTGGGAATACAAAATTGGAGAAGAAGAGGACAGCAGAAAGTAAGATTAAGAGGAAAATCGAAGATGCTCTCATCTAGTAATTCGAGAGATCAATGAGAGAGATGATCGATGATGAATGATGATGGATCTTATTCAAACAACAATATCATATGACGCGTGTTTATTCGACTCGTCCGCAACTCGCTTAGTGTCCACTCCGCCTTTTCAATTGCTTACACCTTTACTCTCTACGCGCTATCTATGATTCTATTCAAAAAGTTATCTTTGAATTTTTCTTAGATAGAATTTGACATTTGGAGTTTATTTCTATTTCAATTCAAGTATTAAAATTGGAACCAATTTGGAGAGACGGAGCAGGTAGCCTTGATGGGCCGACTATGAGGAGTGGAGAATACTGGAATGGGCCGAAGCCCGATTTAACCCCCAAAAATCCCAATTTAGAGCTTCCTTGCTTTATCCAGTTGTTTTGATCATCTATCAAAATTCCAAAATTCCCCAAATATTTCCAAATCCATGATGAAATGAGAGATGAATTTCTCCATATCCCACAGCATAATTTATGGACGACGGTAAACACAAAATCATTCCTAAGGTAAGGTATCCTTTTTCGTGTTTATTATGATGTTTTCTGATTCCCTTCATTAATCATTACTTACTAAATTGAATTGTCGATGATTTTTGCAAATCCATTGTAGCTGCTTAACAGCTCCTTCCTTTTCTGTTGTTGTTTTTAAGGATTACTACAAGGTCTTAGAAGTGGAGTATGATGCAACTGATGACAATATACGATTCAATTACCGGAAGCTTGCATTGGTTCGTAGTTTATCTTCTCTGACTCTGACTCTGAAGCAGAGCTAATCTTCTTATGGTTAGATCTAATAATTAATTAATTAATTAATGAACACCTTCGCCCATTACTAGTGTTCATCTCTAATAGATCATCATGGATGCTCATTCATTCATTCATTCATTATTCAGTTAATATTACTTTTATTCTCCTTCATTCATTATGGTACCCGTGCAGAAGTGGCATCCCGACAAACATAAGGGTGATATTGCTGTTACTGCCAAATTTCAAGAGATCAATGAAGCTTATACTGGTCACTCTCTATCCCATACTACTTCTTATTTTCTCGCACTTCCTATTTAACAATTGATACGACTAGTAGTTGGCCAAGCCGAGCTCCTACTGGAGTTTGCCTCATCTCTTATTAATTAAATGACTATCCTTTAAATTATCATCTATCCTGGGACGAACTGCAGTTGTGTCCACCTGTCACTTTTAGCATCATCTCTCTCCTTTACTAGGGTTGCAATTTGGGTGCTACTTCCGCCATTAAGCAGACTGAATCTTGAAAATATTTTCATTACAGTTTTTCTTATTTACAAACACATTATGCCCTTTGAGGTAGTTGCAACTGTGGAGGCTTCTGTTAGTTGTCCCATTAGGACTCTTAAATATGTAAATGTAATTTGTTCAACTCTTGAAATATGCAATGTTAACCCTTGTTCCGAACACTTCCTTGCAGTGTTGAGTGATCCAGATAAAAGACTTGAGTATGATCTGAACGGGAATTATGAGATTGACAAGTATACTCTGGGGGTCAGTAATTACGCACCATGTCATCTTATTATTATTATTCTATATATCTATTGTTCATTCCTTTTTAAAGATCACTTTTTTTATAATCAAAGTTCAGCTTGCTGCAGTCATTAATCTTTGAGACTTATCTTGCTGATAGTGTCAATTCGCATTTGTTCAATACAGGAATATTTATCGAGATTCAAAGGAATGATACTTACCTGTAATGGGCTTGGTATTAGTCACACTTCAATTCGGTATGTCTGACCATCTAGCCCTAGTGCTAGAGTTGTTTTATTACCTTTTCAAGTAAGACAAAAATGCTGATCCTCATCCTACACTTGTGGCAGCTGCACTTACATAGCATTTGATATTTCTTGCAAAATGGTGCCGATTCTCAGGAACTAGTCAATAAGTTTTTACTTTTTACAAAAACATATTAACATGAGCCTTTTTGGATAATTGTGAGGTGTGATTCTGGTCACTAGATTGCACAAGTCTACAACCCCACGCGTCTTATGAGATAGTTTTGGACTTGTCAATTTTTTAGTGTTTCTTATGATTTATGTTAGCAGTTATTATATTTTTCTGTAATAGTAATAAGAGAGGAAGAGTAAAATACTAGGGATTAATGATTATTACAAATTTACAATAATAACAAATACCATAACAATAGTAAACAAGGAGTTTATTGGACTTATTTGTAGATCACTTAGTATACACAATTTGATACATAATTGATTCTTTACAGTCTATAATTTGTCCTCTCATGTGAATTTGGAGTGCTCTAATCCACAGCATTATGAATTATGAATTATGAGTTATGAATTTTATCATGTGCATCTTGGTTGCATTTGATTTTGGTAATTGTCGTATGCAGGTCACAGCCACTGATGGAACTTAAAGATTTAAAAGAAAAGTAAGGTTTGGACTTTGGAGTGATGCCATTGTATTTGTTCATCTATATCCCACCTCAATCCTTGTGCTTTTTGGGTAAGAATATATTTGTATGATACATATACTGTTGCATGGAAAGTGATGCGCTGCTATACTTGACGAGAAACATCTGTATATTGGTCTCATACTGTAAGTAGTAATGCTATCTATGATTTCTTGTATATGCTAGTTGATAGATGTTTGTACCCTGTATTTGTTTCTTTTTCCAGATTAAGAGAAATCATTTTAGCATTATCAATATCTTTTAACAAATTTGGATTTTCTCCTGGTACTAGTCCTTTTAATTGAACAATAAGAGATGTGTAAGGACAGCCTAAAACAGAAAATGATCGAGCAGCCAAGCATTTGAGTTAATAAATCCACAACCAAGCATAAGGATTAGAAGAAAATTGTTAATAATGTGTTCTAAACATAGAACATTTCCCGCGCTGCTTGCTGTCTCGAATTATTCTACTATCTTTACAAAATCTCCAATATCATCATTATATCCATCTTTCTCCCTCTCTCTCATATAATGAAAATATCTGAATCAGCTAATGTAACTAGTTACAACATAGTTTGTACATATACGGTTCATTAAACAACAAACAACTAAAAAAATATGGAACAACATACAGTTTGGGTTCATGTGGAGTCACATCATAAGCTAGAAATTTGATCAGAACCTACATCGGACCACATAATACTCGAGCTTTCCTTATGGAATGAAAACGACTGAGCTAACTTCACAGCATCTTGTACTCTCAACCGAGTCCCCTGTTGTGCAACAACTACAGATGCAACCTTAGAAGCTAATGTACCCATGCCTCTCAAATCAGAGACCCCATGTAATAAACCATATAATATGCCAGATGCATAAGCATCCCCAGCTCCACAAGTATCTACTGGCACACAAGGTGATGGAGGGATGTAAACTGCTTCTCCTTTTACTCCGATATATGATCCTTTAGGACCATCTGTCACTGAAACAAACGGGACAAAATGGCTCAGGTACCTCGTGGCAGAAACTGGGCTTTCTTTTGACGGAAAATGACAGAAAGTTCTTGCTTCATCACTGTTTGCAAATATGATGTCCGCATAATTTGCCATGATATCCCTGCCAAAGAAAACATAAAACTTGAATTGATGATGGGCAAAGGCATATGGTACCCTATTGTGAGTAAAGAAAAGGAGACATCAATATCTTTTTTAAAAATTGGCTTGTTTAATCTCTCCAAAAATGAGTAGCTACAGAGTGATCTCAACGTTCAACTAAGATGAAACAGTCTCTTGTTTTGTAAAGAAAAATCCAAGGAAGATAAAGCACAAATGAGATGAACTTCAATAAAAACAAGCCTAATTTACGATCAGCGAATCTGACCATGAATCTTTCAGTCTTTGTTTTTAAAATCATTTCAATGTAAACGACTTTCCAATAACAACTCCAGCTAATTTGATTTTAAAATTCACAGAAATGCAATGACCAACGGCTATCCTGGTGAGATGTGAAGAAACATAAACAATCGGGTATGTTGCAAGCCCACTCACCAGAAATCATCGTAATGTCTCTCAATGCAGGTAACATCTGACGCTGTGATGGCAATCAGAGCGCCACACCTCCGAGCCTCTTCGCATACCATGGCAATCGTTTTGATAGTGTCAGGAAATTCAAATAAGTATCCTTCAATTATTAATATACTTGTTTTGGATATCAAGCTGGCCAAGCACGGATCGTAGTTTACCCTTGAAGATGTACCCTGATTTCATCAAAGGGGGTTATTTGTGAGAAATTTATGAACTTATCTTACTTTCATATAGCTTGAGAAGTTTAGATAACAACCAGGATAATGATTGACGATTCCCTTATGGAATGCATTCAAACTTCTTTACATGTTAGAGCCTAACTTCACATATTACTGGATTAAGCTCATCAGTTGAATCATTTTGCAGCCCATAGAATCGATCAAGGGGTGAAGATTCATCTCATTATTTAACAATTCTTATTCATTGGTTTTGCTAATGCATTATTAGTTTCAAACTAGCCATACCCATGATGTGTTTGCCTACAACACAATGCATACCTAACTTGGTCTGTAATCAGCGGCACTAGGAACTTCATTTTGTCTGAGTTAAAAAGCGATATATAGATAACTAGTGAAACCAAACTTCATTTTGTCTGAGTTAGAAAGTGATATATAGATAACTACTGAAACCAAACTCCGATATTATTTTTTTTCAGAAAAAACAAAAGGTTCTGAATTTACATCCTGAACTGTTTCAACTTGATCCATTTGCTATATTAAAGTTCATACACATTTTGTAGGAGAAATAAACTAATCAAAAGAATTGTTAGTTTGAACATATGTATTATATCTCAGGACCCAACACCGGCAACTAATATTTTCATAAAATTGCAGAAACTTACGAAAGAAAAATAAAAAGTAAAGGAAAGAAGAAAGAAACAGAAAGGTCTGGCTATGTAAACTTCATCTCCACGAGAATGTACTAACGAATTTTTTAAAGCCTTACTGTATGCTTAGACAATCTCATAAGCACAGTCATGGTTACTCCGTAAATGGAATTCTAAACGTTTCATTATAAAAGATACTACTAACCTGGTATGCAAGCATCGTCCGATGGGCATCCGGAGTTGTGAGAACAATAACAGTTCCTGTTGTTCCATCTTTAACTGGTGCTGAAAGGAAATTCACATTTGCTCGGCGGAGTTTTGATCTATGTAAAATATACAACAAAATATAATTTATAAATCAGGCTCATCAAAAGTAATAACAAGACAAAACAAAATGTGTGCAGTATGGCTAACCCATTATATAGAGAACTTTCACAAGTACGAGATCAGTGAGTTATTCTTCCAGAAAGAAATAAAAACACGAAATCATGGAAGGTAAAGTCTCTAGAAGCAAGGGTAGAATCAACCTAATGGAGTATGAATAGTAAAAGTTGTAAAAGTATGAATATGTCAGAAAGAGAGTGTACCGGTAGAATTCACCTAAAGGATCACTTCCGACACTACCTGCCATGGCAACATTCAAGGAAGGTCTGCCGATGGTTTGACCACCAAGCCTTGCCAAGGCCACCAAGGTGTTAGAAAGAGAACCGCCAGCAGCAGCTTTGTAGCTGCATCCATCCATGGCTCGTAAAACTCTGCCTCTTTCTTCATGATTCACTACTTTCCTAGTACCCTTCTCTAACCCAAGTCTATCGAGAAATTCATCATCAACCACGCCAGAGAAATCCACCTATAAATGGTGAGAATGAGTTACATTACATCATAACTTTAATTCAGACAAAAGTCGCAATCTACTTTCGTGTCAAAATGACTAATCCTAGACCTAAAAAAAGGGAATATTTGCATAGCATATCCAATAATGCAAAATACACATGAAGACTCTCAAATAGAGAAGAAATTACCATAGCTTGGCCGAGGCCCAAAACATGCCATCCTTGTGGAGAGGAGGCAGGGGATTCATTGTCATGGTGTGGGTGGGGTTCGTCTTCGTCGTCGGAATCAGAAACAGCTAACTCATCAGTTGAAGAAGGAGTAGAATCGACCAAACCATCTGCATAGGTGCCGTCGCTGTCACTAGACATGGAAGAAAAATTGGAATTGGAATTGAATGGGAGACAACATGTGAGAGGATGAGAAAGTATGTGTGTGCGGTTAAAAATGGATGAATTGAGGGTTGAGGAGCCAAAAGAGAAAGTGGAGGATGGAGAAAAAAGGTCGGAAAATGGGGGAATTTTTCTGAGAGAAAAGGAATTGGAGGCGGGAGAAGAAGAGGATGATAAGGAGACGAGAGAGAAAGACATGATTGATCCAACAATCCTACACCAGTGGAGAACGTCGGTCGCCACCCACTATTCTTCCGCACTTGTGCTCCGCCCCCACTACCATCTATTTTTATATCTGGTCTCAGTTTATCTTCAAACTTCACCTGTATTTTTCTGTTATACCTATTTTGTCCTTCTTCTTCGCCCCTCTCTTTTACATCCAAGCAAACTATAACAGTAATTTCATATTTCTGGAATTAATTAAGTTAGCACTTTTTTTTTGGTGCAACTTTTTACATGTCTCGCAATAATAAAATATTTATCTATAAGTAGGATGGTGATGCTGCTTTAAAATGTTGGGTCAGCCCAATGGTCTTGAAGCTCACAGGTTTCTTAAGTTCGGAAATCTTCAAGCCCAATATTGGGAATGCCGAGAGTCCTTGCCACGCGTCCGAGTTAGTTAAAGGACCGACTTCACTTGTTAATCTGCAAAACAGTTGAAAACACTAGGTGACACACGCGTCCGAGTTAGTTAAAGGGCCGGCTTCACTTGTTAATCTGCAAAACAGTTGAAAACACTAGGTGACACGCCGAGGGTAGCCCGACGATTGTCCTCCGACGCTCAAGTCATAAAACTATCACAATATAAACAATTAATATTAATTACTTGCCTAAATAGTGTGTACCTTATTATGTGATTGATAACACATATTTATAGGTGGAATTTGGTATGGTTTTCTTGTAAAAAACTAATGTGGTACAAAAAATATTAGCTTTCTTCACATAAGATCTTATGAAGTTCTTAATTAAAGGCCTTTGTGTTGGGCTTTTCCTTTTAATGAGTTTTTTTGGGTTAAAGCTCAATTAGGCACATCATTAAGCCCTCACTCCCAGGTTGAGCCACCGGCCCGTGGGTCTGCATGAGAGTAATTGGGAATAGTCGCTCGAAGACGAAATAATTTTTTTTGTTTTCCTTGAGTTTCAAGGTAGCAGGAAATTTTGAAGTCGGCTACAAGGATTTTGTAGAGGCTGACGCTGCAGTTAGGCGATGATATTTTTTTATGGGAGGCCCATTTGTTGTACGGTGGAAATCAGTCGCCAACATTATTAGAGGAAGTTGTAACATTGTGAGGGCCTAAGCCGTGAGCACCCCGACAAAGTTATAAAGGGTGGTTAGGGTAAACATGACATTTCGTAAAAAATGAGTTATGCTTCATCTTTTCCGGTGAGACGGTATCCCTTGGCTATATCGCCTAGTGGGAGGCTCGGCTCTCGTAAAGAATAAACTTTTACTTTATCTTCTTAGGTAAGACGGTATCCCTTGGCTTTAACGCCTATTGGGAAGTCCGTATTTTCGCACTTCGTGGTTGATCAGACCCTCAAGTTTTTTATGCCGGAAGTCTGCCCGTTCACCTAAGTTTTTTGTGGCGGGTAAGACTCCCCTGAGCTTTAGTTGCTCTATTTGTTGGAGCTTTGGAGAGCGAGAAGCCAAGGTTCGGGTTGCCCAAATCCTTGATATCTTCCCCTTTAGCTATTTTTTGAGTCTATTTATTTTTTGTTAAATCGATTGTAGATGCCTTGAACAAAAACACGTAGAGAAGACAAATGGTTGATGTAGAAATCACGGCGGCGGTATCCCACCGACTAAAATAGTTTATTAAGAATCATGCGGCCGACAGTATGCCTTGAAAATATTGTGCGGGGCGGTATGCCTCCAACTTATTGCTGAAAATAAATTACATGGGCCCCGCGTGGGGGGCAATAGTAAATACTAAGTAAAGTACTTCTTCAGGGTTGCGATTATTTCTAGGAATTCTCTCAAGTGCCCGTTTTGGACAAGTCTTCCGATTGCTCGCATAAGCTGAAAACACTCCTCAGTAGTGTGACGTCGATCTCTGTGGTATTCACAGTAATCATCCGAATTTTTTCATTCTAGATTCTCCGTCATCCATCTCGGTGGTTGTAGAATTTATTTCTGCTATGCGACGATCATTATGTCAACAAGCTTATCTTGAGAGGTGAGAACTTCTCGAATGTGCGATTTTTGGCGCGACGCCTCTCTTCTTCTGTATTATAGTTGTGGCTTCTCTCATCGCGCTTTCGCTTAAGGGGTACCATCATCTCTGCAGTCTCCTCAATCCGAACGTACTTCTCAGTGTGGTTCAAGAGCTCCTCTAGGATCATAGGGGGTCGGCCTGCGATGTACTCTTGAAAACGAACATGCTTCAAATTGTGTTGCAGAATGTCGGTTAACATTTCGTGATTAAGGAGGGGCACTTCATGTACTGCTTTGATAAATCGTTGCAGGTAATTCATAAGTGATTCTCCGTCCCGCTGTATGACCTTGAAGAGATACGATTCAATTTTGGCGTATTTCTTGCTTATAGAGTATTGGTGAAGTAAAATCGTCGCTAGTTGGTCCAGATTGTCTATGGACCATCCGGGCAAGCCGTTGAACCAAATTTGTGCCTAATCAGCTAGAGTGGTCTGAAAAATCTTGCAGTGAGCTGCGTTATTAAGACCGTAGAGGTCAATCTTGACGTAAAAATTATTTAAGTGATCTTGGGGATCCCCGGTTTCGTCGAATTGGGGGAGATTGGGATCCTGAATCCAAGAGGCAACACTTCTTTCATAATAGCATGAATAAATGGGTAATTCGAGTGGAGAATGCCCCAAAGTGAGCGGCCGTCGACCTCGAGACTTCTCGTCGAGGTTTCCTTGAGTTTCAGTCGCCGGAGCCTACTCGATGCCTTCTTATTTCCTGGTATCGGGAAGCTCTACTTCCGAGTTGGTTTCGAGGGGAGTTTTTGCTGTGGTGCGCATCTTCGCGGTGTCCCCCGCCTCGAGGCCTTTAACAATCGTCATACGACCGGGAATAACCGCTTCTCGTCCGACGGCTTTGCGTCGCTCTCTCCCTTGAAGGGTCTCGGGCTCTGCCTTAGTGGACGCTGTGATTGGCGACGAGTTTCTCTTCGAGGCGCGCGGTCTGAGGATGTGTTACGCTGAGGCGAGTGGCGGTGAGCGTTTATTCGAGACGCGCGGTCTGAGGATGTGCTACGCTGAGGAGAGTGGTGGTGAGCGTATCTTCGAGACGCGCAGTCTGAAGATGTGCAACGTTGAGGCGAGTGGTGGTGAGCATATCTTCGAGGAGCCAGTTCGGAGGAATAATTTTGGCCGTTGAGCGATACTCTTTCCTCTGAGTCATGGAGCTCCACGATTGACGGATTGGTACGGACATACACGGAATCTGTAGGATCGCTTCCCATATAAATAGTTTCTTCAATGTCAGTTGTGCTTTGAGTATTAATATACTGAGCTACAATGTTCGTCGCTGCCCAAGCTGCTACTTTGGCCACCGTCTTCTTCGGTAAGGCTTGTAATTCCTCTGCGGTCATCTAGATGACCGGCACTGAAGATCCCGCAAGTTGGCCTCTCTCGTCGTTCTCTTCCTTCGAGGCGGCTCTATGACTCCAGCTCTATCTTGAAGCGGCTGGTTGAGATCGCCTTGACCACCACTAGGCCAAAATGCAACACTGGCGACGAAATTTCGCGACGAAATTCGTCATGTAGCGACGTTTTTTCGCCGTTAGCGACGCTTTAATTTCGTCGCCAAATCATTAAAAAAGCGTCGCGTACTGCCCGTCGCAAAGTCAGCGACGAAAATCCAATTGCGACGCAAAGCTCGGCGACGAAACTATCCATTCGTCGCGAAAACCGTATTTTCTGAAAAAAATTATTTTTTTATTGTTAGCGACGGAAAATTATTATCGTCGCATGTATTTGCTACGAATTTGTTTATTTCGTCGCAAGTTCACCGAATCTGTGGGCGACTAAATAGTTGTTTCGTCGCCCGGTTCTATTTTTTGTGGCGACGAAAACTGAGTTAGATTTCGTCGCAAACTTTTTTTTTTATTATTTATTTATTTATTTTAATTATTTTTTATTACAAAATAAAATCCCCTGTTAAAAAAAATAAAAAAAAAAAACCAAAACCATATTTACTCAAAAATATTTAAAACCACGATTACCAATTAAATATCAAAATACAACACAAACATCAATTCAAAAATTACATAAAAACTTGAAACCATAAATGTATTAGTTCAAGAGGCACACTAATTTCATCTCGTTTTTATACTCCACCATTAAAACGCTCGAGCAAGTTGTTCAAAAGAGCTCGGGTTTCCTGCAATTGCTGTTCTAATCGATCAACTTTTTCATCTTTTACTTTATTTGTTTCTCGGTTTTCGTTCAATTGTTGTTCTAATCGATTCACTTGTTCGTCTTTCATTTGCATTTGTTCTTGCATTGCCTTCATTTGAATCTCCAGTTGAATCTCCACGTCTGATGGTGTTGAAGAAAATCTCGACTTTCCAATCCTTGTGCTTGAACTTTTAATTCCAAGGCCTTTACTCTTTCCCAAAACCTTTTCAATTGCAGTCGAGTTGGCCGTGCTTTCGTCACTTCCATCACGCATGGTCTCATCATAAACTCGCTCCAAATCAGCCTGAAAATGATTATGTACAAAAGTTTAGCAAAAAATTCGACAGCATAACATCTAAATACGAGCATACCCAAAAAAAATCCTTACCAGTACACAACAACTTGACATATTAAAAAAAAAAAATATCCATAGCCACACATCTAAACATATAAAGAATTAACATACTACCGATTGAAGAATATAATTACACTTTACTTACCGAAATGAGAAGTTGTTCAGGAGTTGTTGTCCCGTTATACGGCTCTGTCTCTCCTTCCTCACTAATAGATGGTCCGGTTTCCCTCAACGCATCAATGCCCATGTAGGCTTTCTTATACGTGTCAAACACGGTAGGATTTTTGCCAAACTTTTTAAACTAAAAAATAGATTATACAATAAGTATGTATTTTATATAAACTTAAATAAATTAAAATTATAGATTAAGCCACTTACATGATTATAGGACCAACTATTGATACTTGTTCGACCCCAATGGTGGTCTGTCGACACTTTCTTTCTTGAGTCCTTGCATTTAGTGGACTTGGACTGTGAAAAATATTGCACAAATTAATACACATAAACATATGAAAATATAATCATAAATTAAAAGCATATTACCTTCCCATCATCCCCCGAAGTAGAAATAGAATGAAACTGATCACACAGCCTCTCCCAAGTTTGAGCGCTAATCCTATCCGGAAGATTTGCCTTAGCAGCTGCAAGGTTGGGCGCTTTATCAAAAACCGCCTTCAATCTTTTATTTTTTGCATCTTTCCAACGACAATTGGCCGTCTCGTTGAACCATTTCTTCGTAGTCTCATTTTCAGGAAGTTTCCACGTTACCTAAAAGGCATACAAAAAAATTCATAATTAATTGATAACAAAATAATTATAATAACTGAAATAAATAAAATAATTTGAACTTTCAAATACCTTAAATGCTTTCCACAATCCTTCGACACGACCCTATTTCTTGTGCTTAGGCCATGAAATAGACGGATCAAAATTGTCCCAATGTGTAACCTCGTTACTAATTGCCACCGCCAACTTGTACCTCCCGGGTGCAACGGGAATACCCATACCGTCAAACTCCAAATCAACTATGTCGGTACTTGTAGACTCATCACCTATAGGCTCAACAGAAATATCTTCCGTCGACATTGCTCGCCTGAGAAACAAAATAAGATACACATATACAGAAATATATATACATAACAATAATAAATTATGGCAAATAAAATGATAACATTAAAACAAGTACATCACAATCCAAACAAGCTAATTAACAAGACTTCAAAAAAATATTAGAACAACAAAAATAATTATTCACTCTTCCATATCATCTATAGCATTTATGTCATTATTTATAGGAAGTATCTCATAACATTCATCTTCAACTACATTGAGATCATCAGGAGTCAAAGCAAAGTTGTCTCTTGGTTCAATAACAATCGGAACCACCCATGGCCTATCACGTGGATCATCAACGTAAAAAGCTTGCAATACTTGACATGGAAGAACAAAGGGACTCGCTTTTATAACTGGCTTTGTTAGGTTCACAAGTGTAAAGCCCAAACCGTCCGTCTTGTTCATGCGAGTATTAGCCCAATCACATTCGAATAAAACTACCCTCTTTGTACCTTCATTGGCCGCTCCCGTAGTTCTTTTTCGTTCGAGACAGCTCTGAGACTCCACCGCTACCTTGAAGCCATTGGTTAAGATCGTTTTGACCCTCTTCGTTGGCCGCTCCCGTAGTTATTTTCCTTCGAAGTGGCTCTAGGACTCTGCTGCTACCTCGAGGCGGCCGGTTGAGATTGCCTTGACCACCTTCGTTGGCTGCTCCCGTAGTTCTTTTCCTTCGAAGCGGTTCTGAGACTCTAACGCTATCTTGAAGCGGTTGGTTGGGATCGCCTTGACCCTCTTCGTTGGCCGCTCCTATAGTTCTTTTCCTTCGAGGTAGCTCTGAGACTCTACCGCTACCTTGAAGCGGTTGGTTGGAATCGCATTGACCCTCTTCGTTGGCCGCTCCCGTAGTTCTTTTCCTTCGAGGCAGCTCTGAGACTCCACTGCTACCTTGAAGCGGTTGGTTGGATCGCCTTGACCCTCTTCGTTGGCCGCTCCCGTAGTTCTTTTCCTTCGAGGTAGCTCTGAGACTCCACCGCTACCTTGAAGCGGTTGGTTGGAATCGCCTTGACCCTCTTCGTTGGCCGCTCCCGTAGTTCTTTTCTTTCGAGGCAGCTCCGAGACTCCACCGTTACCTTGAAGCGGTTTGTTGGGATCGCCTTAACCCTCTTCGTTGGCATCTCCCGTAGTTCTTTTCCTTCGAGGCAGCTCTGAGACTTCACCGGTACCTTGAAGCGATTGGTTGGGATCGCCTTGACCCTCTTCGTTGGCCGCTCCCGTAGTTCTTTTGCTTCGAGGTGGCTCTAGGACTCTGCCGCTACCTCGAGGCGGCTGGTTGAGATTGCCTTGACCACCTTCGTTGGCCGCTCCCGTAGATATTTTCCTTCGAGGCGGTTCCGAGACTCCACTGCTACCTTGAAGCGGTTGGTTGGGATCGCCTTGACCCTCTTCGTTGGCCGCTCCGTAGTTCTTATCCTTCGAGGCAGCTCTGAGACTTTGTTGCGACCTTAAGGGGGTTGGTGGAGATCGTCTTGACCACCTCCGTTCATGACACGCGATCTAGTTTGCATTCCCACAGACGGCGCCAAAATGATGTTGCTCCAAAATGTTGGGTCAGCCCAATGGTCTTGAAGCCCACAGGTCTTCTAAGTCCGGGAATCTTCAAGCCCAATATCGGGAATGCCGAGAGTCCTTGCCACGCGTCCGAGGTAGTCAAAGGGACGGCTTCACTTGTTAATCTGCTTTGAAAACACTAGGTGACACGCCGGGGGTAGCCCGACGATTGTCCTCCGACGCTCAAGTCAGAAAACTATCACAATATAAACAATTAATATTAATTAATTGCCTAAATAGTGTGTACCTTATTATGTGGTTGATAACACATATTTATAGGTGGAATTTGGTATGGTTTTCTTGTAGAAAACTCATGTGAGACAAAAAATATTAGCTTTCTTCCCATAAACTTCTTATAAAGTTCTTAATTAAGGGCTTTTGTGTTGGACTTTTCCTTTTAATGAGCATCTTGAACTTTTTAGGTTAAACCTCAATTAGACACATCAGATGACAAATCAAATTAAGATACTCAACCCTCGCTAGTTAGTAATTCGTTTGAGATCAATTTTCTTAATATAACAAATCCAATTTGCAGATATATGAAACACATCTTTGAACTTGAACTGGATTAAGAAAAATGATTAGTATAGTATGTATACAAAATTAAGCTAATTGAATTCTATATATATTAAGCTCGATTCAAGCTTTATCCAGCTTTACTCTATAGTTTATTAAATAAAACTCAGACACAACTTGAAAGTTCGATTAAAATTCAAACAAATTTGAACAATCATGTATTTGGCTCGACTCGAAACACCCCTACACATAAAAATAGTTTTCCCCCTTTTCCATTTACTAGAACTAGAATTCCCTCTAAAAAGTACTGAACGCGGTACTCATTTTTTGTTGAACGCGACGAATTTTTTTCATTTTAATATACGTTTGAAAGCAGAGACTATGTTCCCAAAAAAATTGCATACGATAGTAACACAAACTAAGCTCCTACTTTGAGACTTCAAATATAGCAATATATTTCTATGTCCATGGACTTCAAATATAAACTACTTATTAAGATGTTTATTCTTTTGTTGTATGATAAGGGAAAAGTATACAATTAATTAGTATATTTTAAGTAGGTTAACAAGAAGATGATAAACAACCAGCCCGTCTAGCTCAGTTGGTAGAGCGCAAGGCTCTTAACCTTGTGGTCGTGGGTTCGAGCCCCACGGTGGGCGATATTTTTTTCAATGGCTGATTATCGAGGTAAAATAAATGGGCTATTATCACCTCTTATGGGCCTCTACTATTTAATATTCGGTGGGCGATAATTTTTTATAAAATGGCTAATTATTGAGTTAAAATAAATGGGCTATTATCACCTCTTATGGGCCTCTACTATTTAATATTCGGTGGGCGATAATTTTTTTTTTAAAATGCCTAATTATCGAGTTAAAATAAATGGGCTATTATCACCTCTTATGGGCCTCTTCTTTTTAATATTCGGTGGGCGATATATTTGTTGTCAATGGTTAATTATCGAGTTAAAATAAATGGGCTATTATCAACTTTTATGGGCCTCTACAATTTAATATTTATTATGAGCGGTCCAAATTATGTCGGTGGGCAATTTATTTTTGTTGGGCTAATAATAATCGAGTTAAAAAATATATGAGCTCTCTTGGGGCTCTACTATTTATTAGGATCTGTCCAAAGTATTTGTCATTAATTGTTGACAATACAAAATATCCGCAAATCCTATGATAAAATGAAAAAGAAATTGGTGAAGATCCGTCAAAAGAGATGTGGCAGCCACAACAACTCAAGAGTTGACTGCCTCGTATCCATATCCACGTGTCGTTCATCTGTCCATCATTCCCTTCTTTTTTAGTGTGGTAGAAAACGTAATATCGACAAATAACAAGTCTCAATTAGTATGAATTTCTAAAACCCCCCCTACACAACCCCCCTTCTCTCTCTCTCTCTCTCTCTCTCTCAGCCGCACACGCTTCTCTTTATTCCGTTTACCATCTTCCGCAACTTGCTGCTATGTCAGTGCTCAGCCGGCTCGGTGTGGCAGCGCGGCTGTTATCGAAGCGTATAAACCGAGGGTACGGATCAGCTGCTGCCGCTCAGCTGGATTACGATTCTTACTATTGCTACGATGACGAGGAAGAGGAGATGAAGAATCGGAGAGTAATTGAGGAGTCGGAGTCGGAGGGATGGGAAACGCTGGGGAGGGGTGTGCAGTGGGTCATCATGGGCGATCCAATGGCCAGGCGACATCTCTATGCCCAGCGCCTTGCCGACCTTCTCCACGTTCCTCATATCTCCATGGGATCTCTCGTTCGTCAGGAACTCAACCCTGATTCTCCTCTCTATAAAAAGGTTTTTTATTTTCCTTCAATTTTGAATACAGATTGTACTGCGATCGATCATAAAAAGTAGTTTTGGATCGATACAGTTCTGTTATTTTTCTTGTGTTTCCTTTCCTTGATTATATCATTAATATGTCACACAGTCACAGTGATGTTGGTTGGTAACTCGTTATATGTGTGCGCGTGTGTGTATCTATACATATATGTAGAAAATGACATGCATTTTACCTTCTGTTTGGTCTTACATAGATTGCCAGCGCAGTGAACCAAGGGAAGTTAGTCCCAGAGGATGTCATATTTGGGCTTTTGTCCAAGAGGCTGGAAGAAGGATATTGCAGAGGTGAAACTGGATTTATTTTGGACGGAATTCCTCGTACAAGGATGCAAGCTGTTAGTGTTTCTTCATCCTCTTAGCACCTTCTTTTATGTCTTTTGCTATTTACAGTGCTTTCCTGCTTAATTGGTTGTTTAAATTACATTTCATATATAGTGTTTCTGATGATCATTAGTGTCAAATGTTCATTTTCATTTTAAGCCGTTTTCATGGAGTTTTCGCCATTTTATTTATTTATTTTTGTGTTCCTTGCGATTATTGTAGCATTTGTGTCAAATCATAGTCAGCAAAAAATTGTGAATTTTATTGGCAGCACATGGTCCAGTGTTGTTGGTAAGGCCAGCAATACATGTTTTTTAGTTGTATAACAAGGGCCCTTTTTATAAATTTATGTCTTGTTGGTTTGTAAATCACACTAGTTCCAGAAACAGTTTCTTGATTCTTGTTTTTGGTCCTTGCAGGAGATACTTGACCAAATTGCTGATATAGACTTGGTGCTGAATCTTAAGTGTGCCGAGGAGTCTGTTGTGAAGAAAACTTTAGGCGGTGGAATGTATTCTCCTTCTCGAGAATTCCATTCCGTGGCTACTTCAGGATTGAATATCAGTATTCAGAAACAATCAGGTCCTTTTCAGTCTACAAATGTCGACTCAGATACCATCTGGAAGGAGAAGCTTCGCATGTATGCAGATCAGGTAACCCCATTGTCTCCTCAGATAAACACTATGTAGCTTAAGTGGAAGTTTTTTTGCTATGGTCTTACTTGATATGCACATCAGAACTATTTTATGATTCATTAAAACTATGTCGTTACGGATTAAAACTATACAGTATAGAGTACTGACTCCTTTTAGACCCCTCCCTTGGTTATCAATAATGCATGCAATGTGGTTTTCTCTGAATTTTTGTTCAGATGGTAGACTACTGTTTGCATGTATTCAATCCTATATACCGGTTTTATGCCCTTGCAAATGTAACATACCTTACTGTTAGTAGACTTGACAATATTAATAGCAGAGTGATTTGCATTTTTCACTCCAACTACACTAGCATACTTACGGAACCAGTTATATGTGTTCAGATGAAGCCCCTGGAAGAATACTATAAGCAGCAGAATAAGCTTCTCGATTTCCAAGTGGCCGGTGCATCTGGAGACACCTGGCAAGGTCTTTTGGCTGCTTTGCAGCTGCAACACGTGAATGTTGTCACTTCTCCTGCCAATTCATCACAGAAGTTGACGGCATAATTTTGGCCGAGAAAGATTCGTTTTGTTTCTAGTCCTGGTGTGCTAGTAAACACAAGATATGTTTGCCATGTGGTATCATATCTTGGATTTTTTTTGTAGTGAATGTATCCAATTTTGCATTAGGGATGAAAGGATAATCCTTTTAATTTTTTTCTTGTGTGTTCAAGTTTGTTAGGGCTGAAGTTGAGTGTAAAAACATTATCCGGCATTTATATACATATCAGTTGTCTCTTTCTTTCTCTGTGTTTAGTGTGAAAAACATTTGACAGCAATTTATAGTTTGTACAAGTAGATTGAGTGGAAGATCTTAAAGGCGATTCGCATTTGATGCCTAATCGGGTTTTGCAGAAGAAGGTGATGAATGGAGTAGGTCTTTCAGAGGTGAACCATGATGGAAACAAATACTCCTCCTAAATGGGTAATTTGTAAGGTCAGTTGTCATCACAACATACAACAAATGTTTGACAACTCTTAATAATGGAAACAAATACTCTTTCCTCATTGCTCACCTAAATCTCTATTGATTTATCCATTAATTAAACAATTTCTTTAAATATGAAAGTATGGAATCATCTTCTTCACTCACACTCTCATATCCTCTAACTCAGTACACATCTTCTCTCTCTCTCTCTCTCTCCCTAAGTCGATCAAAGAATGAAGCACATCTCTAAAATTTACACACTTACAAATAATAATAAACAAATAACATCAAACATGTAGATCAGCCACATATTCCAGCATGCAGTATTCAAATGTGGTTGTATGTCAGCTAAAGCTCTGACGAGATGTTGTGTCTGATTTCTGATCTGCATCGGCTGTTGCCTGGACTTGAGCAGCATATTGAAGGTTCCACAAGACATCCTCAATGGATGATTCAGCTGATATACATTTGTTTGTAATGGATATCACAATTGACAATGATTCCTGTGAGCTTGTTGTCAACACTATTGGATCCACTATCTTCCTCCTTCCATCTTCGCTGCTAAAAGATGTCTGCCCCAATTCCAACACTCAATTTATTCTTTTATACACACACACACACACACACACACACACACACACACACACACATATATATATATATATATATATATATATATATATATATATATATATATATATATATATATAAGGAATGAATGCAGCACAGGTGACATACATACCATTTCATTTAGTAGAAATACTTCTTGTTTCCCGCTTGCAACAGGACCTACAAGGGATTCAAGCAATATAATCCCAAAGTTGTACACATCATCCTCGAACTTGTCCACATTCCTCCTGCCACCAAAATATGTTGTTTATCAGTATATAATGTGGTTGGAGAAAGATTTATGGGGCAGACGAGAAGTTCCTTATTACCCTGATTTAGTAGCATCTCCTTTTGCCTGGAAACGAGATACATAGCACGGGTTAGACGACTAAGAAAACGAAATAATTAATAAGAAAGATATGGTCTAGATGAAGCATACTTGAGAAGATATTAATTCAGTTTCATCAGCAATGATAGACATCCCATAGTCACTAAGCTTAGGGATGCCATGCTCGTCCATCAGTATATTATTTGTTTTTAGCCGATTATTGAAACAAGGTGGAATCACACCAGTATGCAGAAAATGGACAGCCTTGGCTACCCCTATTAGAACACTCAGTCTGTCTGACCACTTCAGAACCTTCTCTGGACAGGACTCTGCACATTAATTAATGAACAATTGAACATATACTTGAGTTGTTCAACTGGAAAATTAAACAAATTATTTATTTATTAAACATATGTGTATCAAGAATCAACTTGAACATATAAATCAGTTTTCAACTCTGATAGGCATAAATGTTCTGATACCTGAAAGATGAGAGTGGAAGTTTCCATTAGGGACAAATTCTTGCACAAGGAACAATCTGTGTATAGTTGGGTCTTCTTGGAATCCGCCATTAATGCAATGACCGAGAAGGCCAACCAGATGAGGGTGACGAAGCTTTGAAAGCAAATCAAGCCGCTGTTTAAGGTTCCGAATGGAGTATCTCCTACATAATGCCAAAGATCGTATAGCAACAAAGGTACCATTCTCCAACCTTCCCTTGTAAACCTGAAGAAATGAAGGAACAATTTTAACAATGCTAGTCCAGAACTAATACCCAGAAATTTCCAGTAATCAGGGATGTAGATTGCAGAATCATGATAATATATGTATGATCTTAAATGAATTTGTTTATCGCGTTTAGCACACTTTACATAAAAGCAGAACTCTCTAAACATAAAAAACAAAGCCACCTATCAGAATAAGAATTTCTTCTCTTTCTACGCTGAGATTAGATAACGTAATTATTGATAACTAACGAAACCTCTAAAAAGTGGCAGTATAAAGACTTGTAAGGTACCTTTCCAATAGAACCCTCGCCCAAAAGAGTTGAGTGGTCGAAGTTTTTTGTTGCTTCTTCCAATTCTTGTATGGAGAACACCCTATAGGGCGGAGCACTTTGATTCCCCATTTTTGCTGCTTGAGAAATGATCCCTGGAAGAAAGAAAAAAAGGTAAATAAATTATTTGATTTGGTATTTATTAAAAGGAATTCATTGAGAAAGGAGAACAGCTTACTGGCATTTGCTAGTAGTTCAGAGGAAATCCCTGAAGGTGGATCATCTTGCTTAACCTTAGGTGCAATGTGCTGAACTAGGGTTTGCTGGATGCGTCGTCTTTTACAGAAAAAGACGAGACCGGCAACCAATAGAATAACCACAATAATGACAACTCCCCCAATCACACCACCTAGAATGGCTATTTCCTTCATTGTGTATCTCCCTTTTCCCTTTCCTATTATATCTTTGCAATATTCTGCAGGATGCTGATTGCGTGCATCAATGGAGAAGCAATTCCCTCCAATTTTGACAATTCTGTTATCAAAGTCCAAGCAACTAGGAAGCTCACCTGTCAATCTATTATCAGAAAGATCAACCAAACTAAGTGCATCCCCGCATTTAAGGTGGTTGGAAATTGATCCACTAAGAGCATTGGATGACAAATTCAAGTAACTAATATGCGGCAAAGAAAAGAGCACATCAGGAGGGCTTCCACTCAGATAATTGTGTGACAGATCAAGATGCTGAAGTTGATTCAATTCCCCAAACTGTTGAGGTATCTTACCGGTAAATGAATTGTTGCTGAGGAAAACATTACCCAACCCTTTAGGCAGATAAGGCAATTCAGAATCAAATTTGTTCTCTCTCAAATCCAGCAACTTCAAATTAGAAAGGCTACTTAGATCAGGCAATCTCCCAGAAAGCAAGTTGTGTGACAAAACAAGTTCGGTCACTGTTGTAATCTTCGACAATGCAGATGGAACTTGACCCTTCAATCTGTTGTTCTTCAAGCTCAATACGGAGAGGTTTGTCAACGAAACCAACCAGTCAGGGACTGTGTCGTTGAAGAAGTTGCCATCAAAGTTCAAAGTCTGAAGCTTCACAAGTCTAGACATTTCAGATGGAATGGAACCGAACATGAAATTTGAAGTCATGTCTAATGCCTCAAGCGAATACAAGCGATGAATTTTATCCGGTAGTTGGCCCCAAATGCCTAAAGAAACTAAAGTAAGAACCCTCAAGTTGGACAACCTGGTGAGTGTAGTGACAAAAGAGTCAATAGAGAACCTTTGAGACAATGTTTGGTTGGGGATTGCAAATCCTGTGAATTCATGAAATGTGAGGTTAGGTGCAGGCATATCTCCCATGATTCTGAGCTCAGTAACAGAGTCGTTGTCGCATTTGATGGTCATATGAGGTGGGGAGGACAAATTACAAAAGTCAGCATTAGCATTAGCATTATTATTGTTTCCCCAAACGGAGAGAGGCATTGGGTACTCTAAATGCTTCTGCAGCTGAAGAAGAACCTGCGTCTCATAGCTCCTCAGCTGATGAGTTGTTGGAGCAAACAACAACAGCCATGAAAGAAACACAAACATTAAATTAGTTACCATATTCAAACTATTATTATTCATGAAACCCTAGAAAAAGCTTGTAATTAATAATGAGCTAAAGAAGAATTAGGAGCAGAAAGAAGCATTGGTTAGTGCTCAAAGCTCCAAGGGCAGTCATTAAAAGGGGAGGGGTGGGGGGTTTGTAAAAGATTAATGGGTTGTGTTGTTGGATGGTGGATGGATAGAGTGATGATAAGATATTAAGAAAAACAAACATTGAGCAGCAGCAGCAGAAAGAAACAAATTGTGGTAGTTGCAGACAAGAGAGGGAATGTTGGATGTTTTGTGTGGATGTGTGATAATGGAGACAAATTCTTGGGATTGTTAGATGGATAGATAGATATATTGATCAACAAGTGTCTCAATAAACAAGTGAGGATGGAGGGGCAGCTGAAAAAGAAGAGTTGTGCATTTAAGAAAGAAGAAACTGGCATTTTCAAAATGTATGCAGCATTATTAATAACTGCACCTCCTGAGGCTGAGTTATTTCTTGTATGAGTTGAACCACTCATCATGACTATTGACTCAACCCACCCGGAAATAAACCTCATATTACTGATAATATTAATATATATCCAAATGAAACCCTCCATATTCCATAATTTATCGACGAACATACATGTTAATCGAAAACTTGTTGATTGACTGAGTTGGATGAGTCAAATCAGTTGTAATGATTGGGTGGATATAGGTTTGGTGCTTAGTGTGACTGCCAAGTGGCTTATAAATAAATATTTTATTATTAATAATAATGCCATGGTACAAAAAGAGATGACGATGCAAATCTATCTGTCATCAAACCTCCAAGCTCTACATTTTTAAATGATGTAGATTTCTTTTGTTTTGTTGCTTTTAGTGCTAGTTAGTTGCTAATAATATACCATATGTGAGAATTCAGATTTCACTATTCAAAAAAAAAAAGAAGAAAAGGACATAATAAATGATTAAATGAGACACGGATAACAATGAAAAAGAAGTAAAGACGTTCAGGTCCCAGTTGAAGACTTACTTGCAGCCACCCACTTTAGCACAAATATACAATAATAATAACAATAAAACTGTTGCTGCTGCTTTTCAGAAAACTGTGAAAGGAAAAAAGAAAGAAAGAAAGATACTCTCTCTCTCTCTCTAGTCTCTCTCTCTCTCTCTGTGAGCACACCCCCCAAGGGCCCCAACCCCCAACAGTATTTAGAGAATAGAGAGACAGAGAGCTGGCAACAAAACAAGCAGTGAGAGACAGAGGCATATGGATCAAGCATTCAACAACAACAAATACCACCATTGTCATCTCTCATTTGTCATAACCTAAATCTCAGTACATTCCACATTATATTATATTGTTTTTTTCTTTTTACAGACCAAACACTTAGGATACATGGATTTGAATTTGATTCAGACACACAACACTAAAGACTGTAACATCATTATTTATCTCTACTCAGCCAAAAACTGCATTCACAGGGAGTTCACCTTAGCATCAGAACAAGTGTCCAGATACGAGATCACTAGGTCAGCTGCTTCACAACCACTTGATATTGCTTTCCCAACTGATAATCCTCCCTTGTGGTTACCTACCATTTTTACTCATCCAGTACACAAAAACCACCATTATTTTTAAATACCAAGGCAACGCAAAAAAACCAAATGGGGAAATGGTTTACCTGCATAAAACAACCCTGGAAGGTCTTTCTCCATCTTGTCAATAGCTTCAATTACTGAACCATACTTACGCCCATATAACGGAAATGCTTTACTCCAATGGAAGTGACTGCAATCATTAACAAAACATATTATGGGGTTCATCCACTAATGAAATCCTTCTATTGTAAAGCAGCCCTTAAATTCTTTCAATTACTTCAGGGAAGCAGGTTCTCCTTCTGCCCCCAATAGCTGTCTGAGATCACAAGTCACTATCTGACTCAATTCGTCCCTGCGACATAAGTAAGCTATCTAGTTAATTGAGATAATTGGGTAAAGAGATGAAAAGGACAAGAAGACACAACACCAACAAACATTCAAGCTGTTAAGACCTTGAAGCTTTGGCAAGCTCTGGGTTTCTACTTCCGCCAACAAACGTAGTATAGAGATGAACATCAGCAGGTGCGCGATCTGGAAACATCATCGAAGAGAATAGGGTGCCTGAAAAAATGAAAATTTTATAGCAGAGACACCTTGATTATAGTAGAAGGGAATCCTAGGACTCAAAAGTTTGCATTACCCAGTGTCTTCAAACCATTTTCTTGCTCTTTTGAAGGTATGAGAACTCCAAAGCCTTCAAGCGGTCGCTTGACACTCTCTCTCTTAAATGTGGTGATTATAACAGACATCGGTAAGTAGCTAATCTGCGTATATTTCAGACAGGAGGAACACCCAAATTCTGAATAGACCACATAGAATAGTAGTGAAATTTGAAATTTCATTGAAGGTAAGGACAACGGAGCTATAAAATTGATAGCAAAACTAAAATTCCCAAGGTTACAATTATATACTGGGCGCAAAACCCTTAAATTTAAAAACTAGTTACACAAGTAAGAATGAACCTTAAATTTGTTCATGCAGAACACTCAAAATTGCATACCTCAGGGATAAAGTCTAAGAGGAATGGCAATCCTTGTCTAGTGATCTTCATTTGTTTAACACCGGAAAGGGGGGCCTACCAACAACACTTGGAATTAACAAGATGCCAATGTGCAAAAATTTAAGAATGACAAAAACACGTTCCCACAAAGAGTCATATTGTTTAGATTCATGCCTCGTGTAGTCGTGTTACATATTAAATTTCACGAACATCAGTCTATAAATGGGTGAAGGGGACATAAGAGAATTAGAATTGCTACTTGACACGTTTTACTTATTCTGGAAACAAAGTGCATCTATAAATAATCTCCAACTAGATGTACTTACTGTGAGTATTAATGCATCAAAGGACTTCTGACAGGAATGATTTTTGTCATCCAATTCATAAGAAATTGACCAATTATCTAATGGAGAGTTCTCACTGCAACTAGAAGATAATTCCAGCACTTTCGATTGAAGTTTAAGCTCATCTTTGCCGAGTTCATTGGACAATGCATCCGTGAGTGTCTGCATACATTTACAAACAAATAGATTACAATCAGAAGGCCGCCAGCCTAATAAGTTGTAATAATGTAATTAAACCAACGCTCTATTGGTTCAAATTACTGATTGAAAAAAAACCAGATAATACTTTTCATCCTGTAACTGAATTCAGATAAAAAGTACCAATACAAGAAAACCAGGTTCATGTTTATCGCCCAAGATTCAAGGTCAAGCATGTACAGGCAAGCGAACAGAATAGCAACAAAATTACAGTTTGACCCTTTCAACCTCTTCCACACACAGTGGATTCATACGAAGTACCTAGGGAGCATTATATTTTTTTATATGCTGCAATTCACCTTAGCCACAATCTTTTCTTTCAAATGTCAGAGTGCATTGTCGAAAACAATAAGATTATTTCTTGGAGGTATGAAGAAGAAATATTTATTTTGCACATATGAAAGTAAATTTTATGGAATAACTTATCCTTCCCTTGGACTGCCCAATACCAGGGTTTAGAGATCGGTGCAGAATGTATGCATACCTGCATCCCACCCAGAAATGAAAAGGAGCCACTGCTGTGTTTCTTCTTCTTCACCAAAGAGTCCTTCATTCTGCCGGTGGTTTCTTTTCTGGCAGATAATTTAGACTGAATAGCACCAGATATGATTGAGCCAAATCTGATGGATGCAGAAAAAAATTGTGAACTGGCCAGCTGATGGTGTTATCCATTATGAATCAGCAAGAGACAACTACATGAGTTTGTAGTAGTTTCTAGAACTTCCTTAGGCTTGCACTTATATATTGTTTGAACCAGCTATAACGTGAAGGCTAGTAGTCTAGTAGATCTTTCTGGAAGATCACCAATAATGATACAAAATACATTCTGGTATGTCCATATTTAATCCTAAAAGGGTTCCTTATCTTCGCACTTGAAATTCCTTCAAAAATTTGTTACCTTGTTTATCTATATCTTAGAAATTCGAAGTTAAGCAAAAGCATATTTTTTCCTACAATTAAAAAAGTACTCAATATCTTTGTCGATCAACCTTAAACATTTTTATTCAAACAATTTTATTAGCAATAGCACCATCAAAATGAAAAGTACTAAGTTCAATAAGTTCTGAATGCAACTACCTTTTCTCAAGATCCCATAGCTCTGGAAATACATGGCGCATCTGGTCCAGAACAAAAGAAAGGCATGAAGAGTATTCAATATTCACAAGGTCAAATATCATTACTCAGAAAGTGAGTGATGCGTAATCTTAGAAGAGCGAAATGATTCCTTTAGGTACCCTGTCTCCCCTAAGTAATTAGAGATACACTGTTTGATATCTCCTTTCCTCGCTATTCAGTTGTTTGTCAAGAAAATAACACCAAGCAATAAACAGATGTACCAATACTCACAGAAAGAGATTCAGGATCTCCACCGCTAGTTCCGGCGACAAAAGGATCAATAAGATAGTCAACAACCTGAAAAGGAATTGTGTTCTTCTTAAGCCACATTCAATCACTAAGCAGATGAGCAGAAGTACAATATAAACAACACAAAAGAAGTAAACCAAAGTTATGATGCTTTGTGGTTTAGTGGAGAAAAAGTCTTCACTGAATTTAATATGAGTTAGTTTAAATATAATTTCCAATAGATAATGGATTAGAAGATAGCCTCTGGTTCATCGGTCAAAATAGAAAAGAGTATGTGATGCATAAGGATCACCTCTTTTCCGAAATGACGCTGAAAAAATGCACCAACACTGCAGATAAAAGTAAATTTTGATCAGTTTCCTGAGGTTACCAGCATATTTTATCAGTTTACAGGAAAAAGGAATGGTCAGGCAGAACGGTACAACTTAAGGGATTACCCAAAAGACAGGACATCACTGCTGAAAAGTGACAGAAATTCATGATGGTTTCAAATAATATATTAGAAATCTCAAAGATAATCAATTAATGGAAAAGACTAAAAAGAGCGATCATACACTGAAGAGATCAAAGAAATCTGCAATAAACAACTAAAAATGGTTAGAAATGGTGCAATTGTGTACTAGGAAATGGGATGACAATGTGAAGTTAGTTACACTTTTCCCACATAAATAGTCACCCCCAAGTGTTGCAAATATGTTACTAGACTCTGCGTGTGAAGTGAAATTGAGGGAACCAAAGTCGTTAAATCAATAAAAGTAACTCTATTAATTGTCTTGATACCTTTCCTCTGCGTCAGGCCTCTTCGAAGTACTATTATTCTTCCACAAAAATGGCTCCAAAAAAATTTGAAGCTGAAAATAAAGAATTACATAGCATAAACAGCTGCACTTATATTTATAAAAGTCTCGAGATCCATAAAGTCCAAATGAAAAATAAATGTAAAGAGTAAAAAGTGAAAGATTTCCCCAATGCATGTAAGAGTGTTTTTAGCATAGAGATTTGATCAAACTTTCTTAGTGAATGTCAAGTTTTTACACAAGTCCTTCTATCACTTGCATAAGCAAATACGATATCTGACTCTTCAATAAATCTCTAGGGGCAGTAGATTTTTCAAATTACAAAATCTCAGAATGTAAATGAAAGCAACTGTCAGCAAGAACTACTGTAATGTATTATAGAGTCTTAGCAAAAACTTCATAGTTAGACAAGCACCGTCCATTTTTCGTAACTGAATATAAGACTAAAAACAATCCAGCCATTACCCTCAGAAGCCAAGTGATAAAAAAGCACTCATGTTCACGCCACATATGTTGTTTAAATGGATTTGTTTACTTGCATTCTGGATAAGTTAACTGGAGAATATATTAGTTCAATTTTAGAAACTAAGCTACGAACGAGCATAGCATGCTTTCTTATGATGCTAGTGTGAAGAGGCATCAGAATGTCAATGATATGAGCGAACCTTTGATCCTGCAGAAAGCAGATTGCTTTTGATAAGTGCAGCGGGATTCGATGGCAACTGAGAATTCAAAATTTGATAGGTTAGCAAGAAAACAGACATGAAGATTGGCCTGCCTGCTCCATTTCCAAAGAGGAGCATAGAGCAGTAGTAAAAAGGGACAGACGATCTTACCTGTATAGGCTCTCCATTTTTGGCTATATAACGTTTCTGCTGCGAAAGTGGCTGCATCACAATAATATTACAAATCCCACATTCACTATGCGGTACGCAAACAATGTTTATGGAATTGAAAGATTTACATAGCATGGGGAGAGTTATTTCGGGACATACTACAATGAACATATTACTGAACTAGACAATGAGAAGCCACTTGCACATCATAGTACAATGACACAAGCAGAAAGAGGATAAATTTATTAACCAAACAAAGGTGAAGGTGGAAAAATAAATAAGAGAAGCAACAACTTACAAATTGTTGTTTGTCCCTAAGTCCAAGATTATCGAGTAAAAAGCCAACTGCTGCCTCACTTTCAGTCTGCACTAAAACAAAACTTAAAAAAACTTGTGATGTGGACATTATATAATATCCCAATAAAATCGATTGGTTGGAGACTAGATATTCCAATGAAGAGTACCATAGTATTTGCGCCCTCATCCCATATTAAACCATCATGTGATATGCTTCTTAACTTCCCTCCAGATCTGGCATCCGCTTCAAATACAGTGACGTTTAAACCGTGCAGTTTTAACTTATAAGCTGCAGATAGCCCACTTTACACAAACACAAGAAAAAATCAAACAGGGCACGGAAAAAAAGAAGAAAAAGGAAGGGGAAGTTTTATATGTAATGAGCAAAATTCGGTTACGTGATATAGATGTAAAAAATAAAAAATAGTTGTTGCAATCAGTATCTATAGTATACAAAGATTTTCTTGACGGATTCCTTTAAAATTTAAGGTATCTTCAAAAGCCTCGATACGGGAATCCCAAGACAAATATCACGGAAGGACTGTCTAGTTATACATGATTCATATCAAAAGTAGTAAATGCGGGAGTGAGCTTATGATAATCAGAATCCATCCTTAAACGACGACAATAGGCAATAAATCAACAACAACAACAACAAAGAGTAGATAAAGTTGACAATTGAGGAATGAATGGTGGATTGAGGTACCTAACACCAGCTCCAATAACAGCAACACTTTTAACAGCAGAATCTGAAATTAGACAGTATTAATAATAATGTTCTAGGTAAGCATAACATCAGAGAGAGGGAGAGAGATACCTTGTTGAGCAGCGGAAGCCATTGACAATACGGTAGAGCGAGTAATTGGAAATGGATATGGAGATGGAGATGATAGTAGGAGAAGAGAGGGACAGCAGTATTGCGCAGAGTAGAGTCGCATTTGCGAGATTGATTGATTAGTCGTCCAAATACAACAGACGACTTGCAGGGAGAGTAAGTAGGATGAGGAGAGAGACTCGGATTCGGACTCGGACTCGGACTCGAAACTCAAAGCTCAAAAGTCAAAACAACAAAGTCCCAACTCTTGATGGGCTCGTTATTTTCGATGGCCCAATTGTTTAATGTGTGGGCCCATAATTAGCTATTTTATTTTAGAATGTTTGGTTATGTTTTTTGTCCCTCTCAAAATATTTTGAAAGAATCACCATTTATATATATATATAATTAAATGTGTTTCACACCAAAAGAAAATTAGAAAAAGAAATTTATAATTTCGTTTCTTGAAAATAAATGATAATTATTTGTTTTATTAAATATGAAACTTTCCCTCTTATTTTGTGAGTTTAGTTAGTTTCTATTTTGTGTTGATGAATATAGAAAAATATGTCAATGTTAGGAAACAAATATTGTGAACAAAAGCAGCACAAATGATTGAAGTGGAAGATGGCCGTGTTGCTAAGTTTTAGTGATAGACAAGACAAGATTAAAGATTGTTTGAGAAGCAAATCCTAAATAACTAGTCCATTAATTGGCGCTAATGCAGTTCAAACTTTCAAATTTTTTACATCCGAGGTCTGCTGGGGTAGTACTAGACTACTAGTACTAGGTAGGAGTATTTTATATTACTAACCAATGTTGAACATATAGTACAGTACAGTGCATGGGTTGTCTCGAGACAAAAAATAAATGTATAAGTAAGCTAAGCATGGCTAATCCTTTAATAATTAAATAACTGATGCTCTACTTTTGCAGCAACTGTAAATGGGGCATGGCTTGGCTTCTCAAACACTCACATTGACTAGAAAATGAAATGAAATTTGACCAGACTTGTCCTTCATTTAATCCATTAACCAACCAACATATATATAAACAAGTTCGCATTAAATCCAATTGGCTTCCATTTTGCAAATTATTATACTGGTTTCATGGCCCAGTATTCTAATTACTATATTTTTTAATTATTAGTATTTTAATGGTTAAAAATAAAATTATGAAGGAATAAAGTTTGATTTGCGGTATAATAAATTGAAAAAGGAAAGAGCTAATTTCCCAATAAATACGGAATACCTCCCACTCACTCACTCACTCACTCACTCTCTGGCGCTCACTTATTTTAAGTTCTCGACCCTCGTGCTACTTATAGCCCTCCCCCCTCTCTCTCTCTCTCTCTCTCTCTCTCTCTACAAAGTACAAACAGTACTAAACAAATACAATTTCATACTACTACACTCTTAATTCACTAATCTCACTCACTCTATTCCTTCTCACTTCTACACACACACACACACACACAGGTCGTCGTGCCAGTGCCAGTGCCAAGCGGATGTCTCGCAGCGGCGGTTTTCTTGCCGGAAACCAAGTCTATCCTCTAAACTACCAAGCGGATGTCTCGCAGCGGCTTCTAGAAGCCTCTCTTTCTAATGATCTCAAATCTGCTATCGACTCTCTCTCTCATCCCTTCGTCGACGTCAACTATGTCGGAGCTGTCTGCTTGAAGGTCAAGAAGTCATCCCTCATTTTGCACGAGGAATCCCCCTCCCAAGTCTGCTTCGATTACGAGGAGTTGCCCACTGATGTCACCCCATTATTTGTTGCTGTTACTAATGGACACGCACCTCTCGTCACCAAATTACTCGTAATTCTCTACTTTCTATTTTACATTTCACATTTCTCTGTTGATTCCATTTGCTTTCAGTTCCGATTTAATTTATTTTTCCTTTAACAAACAACATGCTGCTTTTCTGGATTTGCACCTGATGCGTGTAACTCGGAAGTCGATTGTTCTGTTTGACCCAGTTTCAATTTTAAATGTTGATGCATTCGTATTATGCTATATCTCAATTACTTTTTACTCTTTACTATCGTTCAAATCTCTAGTCCTATACTGTAATCTTCAAATATTTTGCCTTACAATCTAATCTTCTAATTCGTATATGGTTTGACCTCCTTGTGCTGAATCCTTGTCCTTGCTAAGTTAATATACTGTTAATCTGTAGTCTTATAGTGTTATCTTCCACTACAAATTACCACGACCTTTAAATGCATTGCTCAATAGTTACTTTTTCTTTGTTGCTTTCTCTAACTGTTCGTAAGTATTCAAATCCAAGGGAACTTTGAACTCTCCGATTTTAGATTCGAACTTTCAGCCAAGTTTGACTATAGGCCAAACTTTATGATAAGAATGGCCCAGATTCTTTTTTTATTATTATGGGAACTTTAACATCCTAGATCTATGTAGGTTAATGGCATATACTCTCATCACCTTAAGAAAATGAGTTGTTGACTTTTTCTCTTTGACATGTGTGTTTTCGGTTATTAAGGACTTCTCCAACTATGGTCAATTATGGTGGTCCAGATGAGAACGTCTATAATCTGTGTCTCTATCGCACTGCTACTAAAAATGTAAACTTGATATCTGCTGGTGCAATATACATATTTCATAATCCATCTTACTTAGATATTACTTGAGATTGTCCCACGTAAAAGTGTGGGTATTATCTGACAAAAGTTGGTTACATAGAGTTGACCATATTTGCCATTTTGCTCTTCTAGCTTTTATCTAATGTAATCATAAATTCATAATGCATGTGTTGTTCCGTGAGCCAGCGAGTCCGATAATTTTTCTCATGTTCTTCTTTATCGTGTTTGAAACCCTGAACTGCATTATTGGATATGTCTTATTTCACCAACATTTTCTTATATGCAATGGCTTACAATTCCTACCATTTTTTATAATGGCAGAGTGCAGGAGCTGATGTGAACGTACGGCTATTCAGAGGTTTTGCAACTGCAGCGGGTGCGAGGGAGGGCCACCGTGAGATCTTAGAGATCCTACTCAAGTCTGGGGCATCACAGCCAGCTTGTGAGGAAGCACTGCTGGAGGCTAGCAGCCATGGCAATTTTCAAATAGTGGAGCTACTAATGGGATCCGACCTTATTAGACCCCACATTGCCGTTAATGCTCTTGTCACTGCATGCTGTAGAGGCTTTGTCGACGTGGTGGATACTCTCATGAAGGTAGATTTTTGACCACATTTACATAAATTAGGAGGCAACAGTTAAAATTGCTGGAACAACTACATGCTATTTGGTTGGGGAAAAAGACGTAAATTATATAATCTGAATCACTCGTTGTTTAAGATATGCATTGTGACCTAAAGCCAAAGTATGGTAAAATGTAACTACCGTTTAATTATTGACAGTTCATTTCCTCTGCATCTATTTGGAAATTGGATTATTGATACTACTAGCTTATGCTGTTCTAAATGACCCTCCTTGATCATCTATATCATTCAATTCCACACAACAACCCTAATTAATAGAGTTGGTACCTAGCCTTGATCCTAATCAAGGTCTAGGGTTCAAAACCTGCCCCTCCCATACCTTCCATTTGTAATAGGATTTGAATTTTTATTGGCAAAAAAAAAAGGGGTAAAATTTACAAATTTCCACACGCTTGTTGTCTGCTCCACTGAAACTGAAGACCTATGATAGAGAGATTATACACCTATATGTTTGATCATAGAGTTTAATAGTATCAAAATTTGATTATCAAGCCCCGAGTGTCACAGATTGCCTTATGTATCCAATGAATATATGGCTTGTTCCGTCGATGGACTTTTTGTTCACTATGTGGATAACTCATGCTGTAATCGCAAATAATCATCTTTGACCAACTAGATACGTTTTTAGAGCCCATATTATGTGATTGTGATTTAATTGTTACTGTATGGCAGTCTGGAGTGGATGCTAATGCAACTGATCGTGTTTTGCTTCAATCATGTAAGCCTTCTCTGCATACAAATGCTGACTGTACTGCACTTGTGGCTGCTACTGTCAGTATGCAGATCTCTGCAGTCCACCTACTACTGGAGGTAATGAAATGATTCTTACATTGTTTTCTTCTTTCCATATCTTTGACATATCTGTTTGTTGAGTTTGTATCTTTATGATAATTATGTGACTGACTGCCTTTCTCAACAAACTTTGACCATTCTGGTTTTTTCTGCATATCTGGAAGTTGTAGTACAATGCAAAATTATTGGACCTCTTGCGCTCTAGTTGTTTGAAGATGGTAACTAACATATGTTATTTTTCTGTTGTAAAAAGGCTGGTGTTAGAACGGATGTGAAAGTGAAACTTGGAGCATGGTCATGGGATATAGCTTCAGGTGAAGAATATCGAGTAGGTGCAGGTCTGGCCGAGCCTTATCCAATCACTTGGTGTGCCGTGGAATATTTTGAAGCAACTGGTTCTATTCTGCGGATGCTCCTTAAACACATCTCCCCGAATACTCCTCATCACGGAAGAACTCTTCTCCAACACGCCATTCTGTGTGAAAATGCAGGCGCTGTTGATGTACTTATAAAATGTGGTGCTGAGGTAGAGACGCCAATCAAAACCACACAAAAAACTGAGTTTCGTCCTATACATATGGCTGCTCATCTTGGACTATCAACAATTCTTCAAAGATTAATTGATTCTGGGTGTGATCTGAACTCTAGAACAGAGCAGGGTGAGACAGCTCTAATGATTTCGGTGAGATATAAGAGGGAAGAGTGCCTCCAAGTGTTGGCCAAGGCAGGTGCTGACTTTGGCTTGATTAACATAACTGGCCAATCTGCGAGTTCCATTGGTAGGTCCAGTGGGTGGTACCACCTTGGCTTTCAACAAGCACTGCGTGGGACAGTGCCAACATCAACCAACATGTCTGTTTTTTCCCCTCTATTGTTTGTGGCAGAATCAGGAGATGTACGGAGCTTGGAAGCCCTGATTGGACATGCAGATATCGATCTCGACAAGCAGGATGAGAGAGGTTTCTCGGCAGTGATGGTTGCTGCAGTGGAGGGTCATGTTGATGCTTTCAGGATGCTTGTTTATGCTGGGGCTGATGTCAAGCTATGCAATAAATCTGGGGAGACTGCTATAACATTGTCTAAACTCAGTAAAAACAGGGATCTATTTGAGAAGGTGATGCTCGAGTTTGCTCTGGAAAAGGGAAACCGCATAGCTGGAGGATTTTATGCAGTGCATTGTGCTGCTCGACGTGGAGACTTGGAAGCGGTGAAGTTGTTGGCAAGCAAGGGTTACGACATAAATGGGTGTGAGGGGGATGGGTACACACCACTAATGGTGGCAGCAAGTGAAGGGAATGGTAAAATGTGCCAACTCCTAATCTCATGTGGAGCACATGTTGAAATGAAAAACGGAAAAGGGGAATCTGCACTATCACTAGCTAGAAAAATTGAAAATGAAATAGCTGAGAATGTGATACTAAATGCACTTGCACGGAGGCTGGTGTTAGGTGGTGCCAGGGTACAAAAGCACACAAAGGGAGGCAAGGGAGCACCACACACGAAGCTACTTAAAATGGTGGTGGTCGTGGGATCTTCGGGGATTCTGCGGTGGGGAAAGTCGAGCTGCCGAAACGTAGTCTGCAAACAAGTACAAGTGGGGCCCAGTTCAAGCTTCCAGAGAAATAGGCGGCGTGATGATGATGATGGAATATTCCGGGTGAGGACGTCGAAGAACAAGGAAGTGCATTTTGTATGTGGTGAAGGAAGGGAAATGGCGGAGTTGTGGGTGCGAGGAATAAAGCTCGTGACCGGAGGAGAATCTATGTTTGGCCTTCACTTGTAGAGGATGTACATACAGATAATATCCATCCATCCATGCACTACTCACTGTAGTCTGTACTTAATCTCAAAGTACATACACATTTCTCTTGTAAATTCATTTTGATCAACCGAATTGAGTTGGAAGGATATATAGATAACCAGTTAACCGGAATTAATTTTTAGATTTGAGTTTTGCATATACATACTATACTATACTATACTATACTCCGATGTTGAAGAAGGTTAATTTGCAACCAACCTGGTAACTGCTTCTAAATTCACGTACAGTGGGTGACACGTTTGAAAGAACATCCATCCACCTGGCAAATACAATCTTAAAATAGGGTAAGATAAAAATATTTGGAAAAGTATTACCGTTGTAGCACATCGAGAACCAGGATAAGTTCAAACTTGTAATTTTATGCCTGGTAAAATTAATTGGTGGACGGTTATGCCCCCCCTTTTCAAATTGGTATACATACATACACAATTAAAGTTTACTGATTCATCCAACCATTTTTGGCAAATTAATTAATTAATTAATTAATCCTCATCATCATCAGATAGAAAAGGGGGAACAAAAAGAAGTAAATAGGTATGGGCATAATCGTCAATTGCCGTGTTACTACGATACTCCGACCGACGGTGAAAAGACCTGTGAAACTGAAACAAAAATTTAAAATCCGGAAAAAGGAATCTTCCACAGCACACAAACACACACTCTCCATTTCTCAAGCAAACATATTCTGAAATAAAAATCAAAAGGAGAGAAGATGTTTTACTCACAGCTGCTGTTATCAAACAAGGGCGCCTTAGGCATCGTTTGGATGGCTGCTCATTGCCACAGAAGGCTTAAAAAAGACCAAGTCCAGCAAACCAACATTTCTTCTTCTATTGGTTCGTCTCTCATTTTTAATTTCTCTTCCCGTAAAATTTCCTGCTTTTTTTTTTTTTTTCTTCTTGCAAAGTTGATGAGAAAAGAAACATCATCTCTTATTATGCGGTAAAATACCATCTTTTTCGCTTGCCGTTTTGTCCTAGTTTATTGTTTTGTTTCTTCGCCCTTTTCATGCCGAATTACAAGACTGGTTTTTGCTCTGGCTGTAGTTGACCACATTTGTTTTCAAATTTTTACCATTTTATTATTATGGTGTTTTTGCCGTTTAAAATGTCTTTCCCTTCTTTTCGACGTCGATTCTTCTTACTTCCTTTTTGGCTTTGTCCCATACAGTTAATTGTGTTATTTTGGGGGTTTAGTGGACCAAATCGTGTTGTTTGATGATTCTCCAGGAATTTGGTTAATTTAGTTTCTGTTTGTTGCATTAGATGGAGGTTATGTAGAACAAATTTACATATGTGTTCGAGCAAGTGATGATTTTATACATACAATAACAAGTGGAGTCATACATCTTATTAATGTATATGTGTGTATGTGCATAAACTTGTTCCTTTTTTTTTGCCCTAATGTGGTTGACAGATGCTCTCTCTCTCTCCCTCTCTCTAATATTTGTAAAACTTCAGTTGCATCAAACAAACATAAGTCTCATATTTTGTCTGTCCTTTTTAACCAAAGCATTCAACAATGTGGACGGAAGCTTCTGTCCCACTTTATGAATTATGTCGTGATTGGCACGTTGTACTCATTAAATAATGATCATATTGTATTCTCGAAGTTGAAAATATTTGATGTCTTTCCCTATTTTAAAAATGGCTATTTGGTTTCGAGACGTCCATAGTTTATTCCCCTCTTTTGAAGAAACCAAAGAAGTTCGTATGATTCTTAATATGTGGAGTTTAACGTATATTATGGCTACTTAATAGCATGGGTGGAAGTTATTTGGTAAGAATTAATTAATAGGCATAATATTCTTTATGCGATAGCATGTTCAATTTTCACGTTAAGACGCGCTTCTATCAGCCCACGTACTTTTTTTACCTTATTTCCAGAGTATCCAACGATGTCACTCAACTTTGCAATGCTAACAATTTGATTTTTTATGTAAAGGTCAGAACCAAAGTCTTTTATTTTGTTGTTTCTATTTATTTCATTTCATATCCCTATAATTCTTCTTTTCAGATAAGATTCTGGATGATGAAGTTCCTATCGTCACGCATAGAATCCTAGCCTTCCTTCTTCTTGGTGTTGTGAGGATTTACTCGAAAAAAGTTGAGTATCTATTTCATGATTGTAATGAAATATATAACAGACTGTGTGGCCTTAAGACTGGAAAAAGCACACGCCCAAGCATTGGAGTCTCACGGACAAATTACCACTCTGTCACTTTACCAAAGAGATTTGAACTTGATGCATTTGATCTGGATCTCCTGGAACACCAGAATTCTGCAGGGTGAGCTTAATAAGTTTTATCAATTTCTGTGTCGTGGCATATTTACTTGCTTGATTTCATTAAGCTCTTTGCTTATGTGGCCATTTTGCAACTGTATATTTGACTGTCTTCCTTTGAACCTATGCTTGTGCAGTGAAAATGTGAGATCGCATAAACAAGACATGCTTGCTGGTATTATATATTTTCCTATTGTGACCATTATATTGAAGTTTGGCATAATCTGAACCTTATTTATTTGTCAGATGATCGCCGAAAAGATGGCAGTAGATCTGGCTTTTTCGACAAGGTACACGTGTAATAATGTGGTGTTTGTCCTTTTCTGCTTCCTTCCAGAAATGTTTATATCAGTGATCCTATTGCATGGCACTTGAAATGTTTATTTGTTACTATTGTCGTTGTCGTACAAAACAAGGATATTGTGATAATAAATTAAAACAGAATAGAAGTAGAAAGAATCTGACTTTTTTTAGCATTATGAATTATTAATTATGACATCTCAAAAAATTTGCAGTTACCTGTTATGTCAGCCACACTCATGATAAAAGGGTCTTTTCATAATGATCTTCTAGCCACTTTATTATGAGACACTTTATCGGTTGCATTTTATGCGAAAGCAACAATAAAATGCTTAGCATTCAGATTCCGTTACTCTTCCTTGTCTTCTATCGTTAAGTTTATTTAATGCAAGTCCAGTTTTGTAATATTTACAAATAGTTGGAGCCACTCCTGTGCATGCTAAAATCAAATCTAGTAGCCTCAATGGTGTGTGAGTATTTCTTAACTAGAAATATGTAATAGAAACCTTGAATGTCGTTTCATTCTCTGAAGTAACAGAAAGGAGTAGTTAGATTCTGGTGTCACATTGGTCAGCAACAATATATCACACGATTCCATTGTTCAAGTGTTTTAACAAATGTACTTTTGGATTCACTGTGAAACCTGCAGGAGAATATGCAATCTTCTGAAGCTTACTCCAAAGCTGATACACCACCTCGAGAGTATGTACACAAGATATGCTATTTTCTCTTACGATTTAATGTATCCTTGTTATATAAGCCCGTTGAATTGTTATGTTGCAGCGTGTTCTCGAGGAACCAGTGGAGTTCATTCAGTAATATGAACATCTCTTTAGCTGGGCTGGAAGTACTTCGTGGAACAAGTTTTTCTTTAGAAGACCGTCTAGATCCTATTATATTGGATGAGGCTGAAGAAGCACAAATGCATAATAAGCATCTTCCTATTAGGGATTCTATTATGTGTAATGAGATGGAGTCTGGTTCTGTTGTAAGTCTATCCAGTAATAGAAGTCATTCAGTACCAAGTGCGGAGATCTTTTGTGGGACTGGGTTTTCTTTAGAAGATCGCCTGGAACCGATGGTGTTGAATGAGGATGAAGAAGAACAACCAAATGCTAGGCCATCAAAAGAGAATATAAGTTCAAATATGCATGGGCCAATCCAAGATGTGGAGTTCGATTCTGTTGCAAATCCATCCCCTCAAGGAAGTAAGTTGGCTGCGAGTTTGGAGACACCTCAGAGAAGTGGTTTCCAGATGTTGAATGAGGATGAGAAGGTACAAAGCCACGAAGAGACATCAGACAAAGAGAAGAGAGTCGATGAAGAGACTATAGAGCACCTACAGGCTCAAATGAACTGTCAAGAGAATGAACCCCATGAATTCACTGGATCAATGGATAAGCATGTGAGTGCGAAGAAGATGAAGTCTTTGGAAGTGATCAACTCAGAAAGCTTAGAATGCCGAAGGCCGAAAGAATTTCCTATGTCTGTTGTTGTAACTCCAGACTCAAAGCTTCCAGGTGATTCTGTTGCTTCAGTAACTTTCTTTTGCAGATATGCATTTTGTTACAAAAAGGATGTATTATTAAACTTGTGTTCGCAATAAGTCTTTTATTTGTATGATTGATTGTGTCTGAACGTTATTCGACAAGAGACAGTATCCTTGTTTTGTTACCATGTTTGCACATAAGTCGCAATAATAACAGAAAATCTGTGTTGTGTTAGCAGCAGGTCTCAGTAGTCCAGAGGTTGTGACTGTTCAGACTCCTGCCACAAAGGAGCGCACAAAGATTCTGAAGAAGCGCAAGACTTTGTTTGATTTGACCACAGTGGTGCCTAACAAGTATGCTATCAGAACCTCTCTCTTTTTTCTTTTTTTTTTGGAGCTTCTATCAATGCCTGTACTTCTGATTTTTATATATTCCTACAATATTACTTCCAATCATAAGATGGCCCAGGAAGAATGTTATGCCATTTAAATGCTAAGAGAAAATCGTCGATCATCTTAATCCGAATGATATTCTAAAGACACTTATTTCTGTATCTGAAAAAGTTTATCAGACGGATTATCTTTTTGATTTGTAGGGTTCTAAAAAAATGGATAGAAGAAGATCCAAGTGATCTAAAACGCAAAAGGAGGGACGTGCCCAATACTCTTTTACATGCCTGGAGAGCTCGTAAACTTGCCAATGGGCCTCAGAGTTTCTTTGAGCCTTTGTTTCATGGTAAGTAGAAAATGTCATTTGAGATTCTGCTGCAAAAATGTAAGATTTTGCCACGTTTTTTAATACCATATGCTACACACAGGTGTCACAACAGATCTTGCTAATCTTGAATGCGAAAAAAGTTGGGCAGCAGCATTGAAATCGGTGAAAATATCTGACAGGAGAGAGGATGTGAGAACTCCTGTTTCAAATGAACAAATTCCTGAAGTAAGATCTCCTTCTCCACATAGGTCTTATGCTGAAGAAACTCCGATTGCTCCTGGAACACCTGTTACTCATTTGAAGCCATCAACAAGATCACACGAGGCTGCTGTTTCACATTTCAGCTTGGAACCCGCATCCTCATCTGAAACCATAGACAAGTGCCAATCTAAAAGTGTATCACTGGAATTTGATGCTGTGTTTCAGGAGGTATTAATTTTCCGTCTTGCTCACAATTTCCATTAGTGGTGAAACGAGATTTGATGTTGCTGTCTGATATTCAATGTTTTATTTTGTACTGCTGTCTATTGAGTCGAAGTACTACTTACTTTGGACTTGCTTTTTTGTCAGGAAATAAATTCATTTGATGGAGGTAGTTCGGAAAAAGGTAAGAGCACGAATTATTTTATTTCTTTGTTTTAAAGCTACGTTGATTTGTGTATTTTTACTTTTCTAACAAATATTTTGAATCCAGATGCATATTCAGAGAAAACAAGGTACGTTTGAAAACTCTGTATCTCACTGCTGGTAGTGTGAATCATATTGAGGACTGTTTTGTTTAGCACCATGGTTTATTTATTTATTTCCATGAGCAGAATGATTGGAAGATATCTGAGTAGGAAGTTCTTGGATAAGAAGAGACATAAAGATGAAGAAGTGTTGAACTTGTTGCAGTTGTTGACACGAAAAACAAAGAAAGAAAGTGCAAGGTTCTTCTATGAGATACTGGTACTATTACCAACTCCAGTTCGGTTCTTTAATGTGGAAAAGGCTGTTTGGTTGTTTACTTTGTTGTTTTGGAGTTTCTGTAGTCGAGGCAGATTAAAATATTTAACATTGATTTATTATGAACATTTATTTAGTCCAATATTTTGATTTACAGGTTTTGAAAACGCGGGACTGCATAGATGTGCAGCAGGAGAATTCGTATGATGATATTCTTCTGAGGGAGACTTCCAAACTGAAGCAAGCAGCAGCAGCATCCTCTCGAAACTGAACTTTTAAAAAGTAGTAGTAGTTGTACTCTTTTGCATAGAGAATGGTACAGTAGTCGTATTTATACTCTTTTTGTCTCTGATCCGAGAGATAGAAGCAATCTTGGGTGTTGCTAGGCTTCTGTCTATTAGAAGGTTCTAACTTGTAATTATGCTTGCATCAGTAGTAGCTTACAAAATATGCCGATGCCCAAATGTGTGGTGCTGTATATCTGTTATTTATGTGCTTCATAGCTGCTGCTGTTTTGTTGAATGTCAATGTTCTGAAATGGCTTTTAACTTTACTTGCTAAAAAATGTCAAACAAATATCATTAAATCATCAACAATTAAATGATGTAGTTAGATTTGACTGTAATTTTGTGGCAAAATAAGACTATGATCGCTGATAATGTGGTTTCCTCATTTCACAACAGGAAGAAATAATACAATCCTGGGAAGATGCTTTATGTTATTGTCCAAGTAATCTATATAATAACTTAATTATCTTTCCTCCCTGTAAGATATACTTGATCAAAACAACTTTCAGATCGAGATATGAATAAACATCGGCAACGCAGCATTGCTGGCAGGGACATTGAATTCAAATAAATAAAACAGCTCGACCCCAAAAATAAAGTAATAGTACAATCACTCGAATACATTGGTTTCACATTGCCAGTGAAGTTCATAAAAGGAAGGGATCAATCAATCACTTGAAGAGCCATCGTCATCATCTTCGTGCTCTCTTACAACCCTCTCAAGAAATTTCTTCCTCACTCCATCAAGAACTGCTTCTCTTGATTGCTCTCCACCATGCCCATCATTTAGCACTGGATCCGATTGACATAGAATTAACCCTACACCTACAAATCCAAACACTCTGTCATTTACTTTTCTCCATAAACATATATAATTGCTTAATTAAACCAAATAGCCAAATTATGATTACTTTAACCCAAAACAGAAGACAGATTGAAGAATCACTTGTAGTAAAATGTTAACTGAAGAAGTAGATCATTTAACTAGAGAGCAAAACAGATGAAGTGAGAAACGTAGTTTATCCGCAACACCAGTTTATCACTGAAATTTTGGAAAATGATTACCTATATAAAGAACCTATTTTATGAACAGTCACTTTCCACATACTAAAGACATCTCATCTCATGCATGTTTTATTTATTTTCAATGGCTTAATGACCAGGGATGCTTCCCTTTCACACTGAACTTGTTTGGCGTATGATTATGAACCATCCACTTTAAATATCCATGTCAGATGTCTTAAATGGTTCAGCATTCAAGACAAACTGTTCAAAAACTCATTGTGAATCGTATATTTGGAAGAACCAGAAAACTATTAGATCTAATAAAGAGAAAATATTTCAGAATATCAAAGCATAGAGAGGAGGACATACTTTCGGGAGTGCACCTTCGACCAAAACTATGCATTCCCACATGAGTTGCCTTAACTGCACTATTATTGTACACAAGTATAGTGGGAAGATTACGATCAGGATAGTTAGGAATGCATTCTGTGGATATAATTTTGACAAACTTGGTAGCCGGATATCTTTTAGACAAATCTTCTAAACACTGCAAAAGCAGCCGGCACTCTGGAAATCTGTCAAAAGCAGCACATACATGATTAAAAACCTGAAGCTTGTTAATTTTGTTACGACACAGTTATCCAAACAAGATACAAGCAGCAATATGGCTTGAAGAGCAGTACTATTTACCCATCTTTATACAGCAGCACGACAACCCAAACTTCCTGTGGAGCTTGTGAAACTTCCCGCACAAAATCCGATCCTGAAATTGGAATAACTGAACCGAACTTTGCAATCTTGACTGCTTCTCTCATCTCAGTCAACCTCTTCTTCCTGTCACAATCAAAATGAAACAGCTCATCAGTATTAATGATGAGTCGCACAAGACAACATCAAGACTCTGAGAGATGATGTGGTTGAATCGCCTACCAAGATAGGCATTGCAATGCTTGATGTCTTCAAACAGAGAGTTCTTGTCTGAACCACCGAGTTCAACTTATGAGTCAGTTCTCAGTTGATGAATAATAAAAATAAATAAAAAAATGATGTACTAGTAGAGTCAGTTCTCAGTTGTCAGATATCCAACCGCAAGCAAATTGTAAATTGATAAAGTAGTTAGTACCTGTAATCTTGGAGGAAACGGTCGTCGTCGAGATCGTCTTGGAGATCTTCAAGCTCTTCCTCGGTTTTGTTGTCGATCCAGGCCTTGTTTTTGGGCTTGGAATCCTGGTCCTCGGCGGGGGCGAAAGGGGCGGGCTTGAACGGCGGCGGTTTGGCGGGAAGATTACCTAGTTTAGTCTGAATATCGTCCCATTGCGTGGATGATCCTTCCAGATCCTTGTATATGAAATGGTAATCCGCCATTGCTATTGCTATTGCTATTGCTGTGGGGATTTTCTCAGAGCTCTCGACAACTCCTTTCTCCTTGTAATTTTTTTACTAGAAAGAATTCCTATTCAACATTTATTACTAATTAATTAATAGTTTTGCCAGCGTGGAAAAAATATTAAATTAATTAACTATCAATTAGTAAATGCTTTTTGATTAATTTCAAATATTTAAGGTATAAGTGACCGAAGCCCAATAAGTAGTATTAAACGCTTCGGCCCAATTAGTAAGTAGAATACTTACTGTGATCAATAAACAAGTGTTGATAACCAAAACCCGAACCGGAATCCGGATTAGATTTTTGCTTCCCCCACTCCACTCCTACTCCATCCTCACTCTCTGCTGATGTCTGTTTGTGACTGTATGTAGGTCAATCCAAATTCATATCACAAACACACAAGTAAACAAAAAAATATCTTCTTCTTCTTCTTCTTCACATAAACCCTAATCTCAATAATACATGCATTAGTCGATTGCGAATATTCATTCATTCTCCATGGACTTGCGTCTGCAAAATACACGCTGCATTTCATCCTCATTTCGTCGTTCGGCACTGCTTCCTCATCCTCGGCCTGCCATTGGACTTTCCTTCTGCAACAAGCCTACAAATAACCGGAAATGTAGAAACATGTGCGCTGCTTCCAATTCTGATACAATTGTGAAATCGACTGATATTACAAGCAAAATTGAACAAGAGCACGCTGATTTGAGGTCTTGGATGGAAAGGAACGGACTCCCCCCTTGCAAAGTCATGCTTAAAGATAGGCCTTCTCATGATTCCAACCTCCAGCCTATTCACTATGTAGCTGCCAGCCAAGATCTTCAGGTCAATTCATTATAGTTACGGAACGTCTTTTCCTTTCGACTTTCAATTCTGTAAATCACGTTTTATATTAGAAGAATCAAAATCAAAATAATTATAAATGAATAAATAAATGCTCGTACATATACACTCCGGAGAGGTACGAGAGCTAATATTACCGATAGAACTATGATACATATTCAAATTGGTACTTACTTTGTTCAAAGTTTATAAAATGTGATGTAGATCCTAACATAGAACATTGATTTTGATTGGGATTTGATGTGTGTTGTTATCAGGAAGGTGATGTAGTATTTTCTATCCCTAATTCATTGGTGGTGACGCTCGAAAGAGTTCTGGGAAATGAGAGTGTTGGTAAGATGCTGGACTAAATGCTATAATATGTTTCTTCGTCTCTTTGTATTCATGCAAAATTGATAGACATTTGGGGACTTCATTCATCGTGTTGTTGAACTTGACATGCAAAAGTTAGATGTATGATCCTGTATTGAAGTTGAAATCAGTGTTGAAACCTCTTACCAATTCTTATTTCATGAGCATTTAGTGGGCGCCTTGAGATGTTAGAAAACCTGCTGGCTTCTCATGTTCTTTGGTAAGAAACACTTTTTAGTCCTAGGAGAAAAGCTTGCATGTTTGTTTGTTTTTATTATAAGCACCAGAAAGATTATACAATGTTTCTATTGATTTTCAAAACATTGAAATCTCTTTGTCAAATTTATTGTCTACATTTAAAGAGTTTAAATTTTTTATCTTACTTCCACTCAGTAAAATTGATCTATTTCTAGTATGCATAAGTAAACAGTTTCTATGGCTTCATGCTGGTGTAAAGTTCTACACTTTTCTATATGGTGGATCCAGGAATTATATGCACCTTAGCAATTATCTTCATCACTTGCAACTTACCTTTGTTTCCCCCCACCCCCCCAGTCTCTCTCTCTGATGAATTTTTGGATTAAGTTCTCGTTCTTATTTGCTCATCAAATATATTATTAATTTGATCTATTACCTCTAAGTTTGTTTGGTATGATTCAGCGGAACTTTTAACCACAAACAAGTTATCAGAGTTAGCCTGCTTGGCACTATATCTAATGTATGAAAAGAAGCAAGGTAAAAAGTCTTTCTGGTATCCATATATTAGAGAACTTGATCGTCAGCGAGGTAGGGGGCAGTTAGCTGTGGAGTCGCCACTTTTATGGTCAGAGGCTGAATTAGATTACCTGACAGGAAGTCCGACAAAGGTGTGCAACTCTCCTCCCGCTGCTTTAGGCTGTTATACAATTTTCAGTATCCATACAATTATCAGCAACCACTGCTTGTTTCTGGACCCAATGTTCTTAGTTTGGATATTCTGATGATTCAGGCTGAAGTTTTCGAGAGGTCTGAAGGAATCAAGAGAGAGTATAATGAGCTTGATACTGTCTGGTTTATGGCTGGATCATTATTTCAGGTAACTTTTGTTGCTTCTAAGACAATATTTAGTCCTAATTTTTCATCTACAAAATTCTAATATCCTTTTCCTTGAACTACCCTATACATCCTTTTAATCTTGACTACTTTGATATTTTTCAGCAATATCCATATGATATCCCTACGGAGGCTTTCCCTTTTGAGATTTTCAAACAAGCTTTTGTTGCAGTTCAATCCTGTGTCGTTCATTTGCAGGTTTGGTTTGTGCTTGAAGTACAGTTGTAACAGTAATCAAACTTTAGACGAGTCATTCACATAGTATTATTTAATCTTTCAACCCAGAAAGTCAGTTTGGCGAGGAGATTTGCATTGGTTCCCCTAGGACCTCCATTGTTGTCCTATAGAAGCAACTGCAAAGCAATGTTAACTGCTGTTGATGGAGCTGTGCAACTTGTCATCGATCGTCCATATAAAGCTGGGGATCCTATTGTTGTCTGGTTATAAGTCTCTCTGTCTTTCAGATTAAAAAAAAAAAGCAGCATTTTAATTTGAGTTCCGTGGAGGCAGCTTATTCTTTGAAATACCTGTCTTAATTTGGATATTCTTTCCATTTTAGGTGTGGGCCACAGCCTAACTCAAAGTTACTCATAAACTATGGTTTTGTTGACGAAGATAATTCTTATGATCGTTTGGTGGTGGAGGTAAAATTTCGTAATCATTTACTCTGTAACTGCAAATGTTTTGTATCACCAATGCTTTTCTCCTGTCATTTAGGCTTCTCTGAATACCGAGGATCCTCAGTATCAGAATAAGAGATTGGCTGCTCAAAGAAATGCGAAGCTATCCGTGCAAACATTTCAGGTACAAACCTTTCTATGTACATAACTACATTTATATAATATGTTTTTATCAGTGAGGGCCTCCGAGTTAAATAATGCACCTATGTACAGATCGTTGTGGGCAAGGAAAGAGAGGCTGTGATGGACATGCTTCCTTATCTGCGATTAGGATATGTTTCTGATCCTTCAGAGATGCAATCTGTTCTATCTTCTCAAGGTCCAATATGTCCGGTAAGCTAATCTTCGTACTTCATGATGTAAATATATACTGTGGTAAGGACTAGGGAGCGCCAAAATGTAACCGTAGTTTTATACACGATAGGATTTACACGTAGGCAGAAGCCTAACCTTCTCTATATACTAATATTTTTGAATTATTCAGTCCACGTCCAACAGGCACATGCTCCATGTTTTAGCTTTAATCTAGTTAATCGGAAAAATAGACGACTTGATTTATCAATTATCCCAGTTTAAGTTGCATTGGAACTGAGTTTAAATTCACTTGGAATTTTTTGCTGATATACATAGGTGAGTTCCTGCATGGAACGTGCTGTTCTGGACCAACTTGCTGGGTATTTTATAAGTAGACTTGCTGGTTATCCGACTACACTTACTGAAGATGAGACTTTGGTAACTATCCCATAAATTTTCAACTGTTTGAAGTTTTAATTTTCCGTTCGTGCTCTAGTTGACCCCTTACACTTGTAGCTTGCAGATAGTAACTTGAGTCCAAAACAACGAGTAGCAACACAACTTGTCAAGTCGGAGAAGAAAATATTAAAAGCATGCCTGCAGGCAACAGTAGACCTGATAAACCAGCTACCTGATTTCTCTATATCCCCCTGTCCTGCTCCTTATGCCCTAAATCTGAAATGGTACTCTCTCTCTCTCTCTCTCTCACACACACACACACACACACACACACACACACACACACATTATGTTTATCAACAATGATTCTAATTGCGGCGGCCATCTTGCAGATTTTTCTATCTCCATTATGATCGTTTACTGCTGGCCTTGAGAATATGAGATATTGGTACAAATGGATGTCAATTGATGAGGTTGGTGAAGTAAAGGTTGTTATTAATGATTTTTACTTTCTTGAATTTGTGCAAGTATAAAAATACATTTTGAAATCTATTAAGACACATACATGATAACTTTGGTCTACATACCAAAAGGCCATATCATGTTCCATTAGCCTCGTATAAGACCATCCTGCTATTACATCTTCTTATATCATAGTCCAAGTCTTGAAACCTAATACATTAGTTTCATCTAAACTAACCATCAATTTGCATGTATAGTCATTTGATTGAAATTGTTTGAAACATTAAATTCCTGCTAGTTCACTTCAGCTTGTTAGATTAAATAGCAGAAAATTAAAATTAGCAATATTATAACTACTTAATTAGCTTAAAGTTTCATCCTTTCTCCTATAAGTGTCGTTCTACTATAACTTCATGGGGGAAAACAGAAATAAATTTTAAAAGAATTGTCGCCACATACTTGAAGAATTGACTTGATGGTTTATGGCTGGTTATCACGAAGGCACCGTTTCTTTTTAATTTCTATATTTGTTTTTATCGTATCAGTTTTATTCATTTTAGCTGGTCAAACATTTATTAGGTATCAATTTTTTCATGTTGTTAAATTGTAGGTGGATCTCATTATCAGGAGATGAATGCTACTATAAGTTTCTGGGGCAATCTTCTTATCAACAAAATAGGAAAGTTTGCATTGCAGTATTATGTCCGTCCATCTATATATACCACCCCGATCCCTAGTTTTAGATTAATTTCCATCCGTTTTTCACATTTTTGTCGATTATAAAATTGTAGAGCAATTGAATTGTGTTGAAATATGGTATGATTTGAAGTGTTGAAGGCTTTTGAAGAAGCAAGTGAAAGAGAAATTTGCTTTTATGTTGTTTGATGGTACTTAAAGTAGTAATGATGAGAGGTTAAAGAATCTGTGAAGATTAATTTTGCATGGGAAACATGAAGAGATGCTATAGGTATAGTAAAAACATGAAGGGGTTCAGTTGAAGACCCCAAGGAAACAAATAGGTATTGAGAAAACATCGGACATAACATTATCAGAGTAAGGTGGTGGTGAAGCTTCAACTACAAAAATGATAATATTTACATGATCATTTCATTCATTGAAAATGACGTGCAATTGATCAAACATGTTGTGAAAACTAAACTAAACTAAACTAGATAAAAGCAGAAAGCCTATTATGAGAGTAGGAGGAGGAAACAGATGACATCACTCATCACTGCTCAGCCCAACTTGGTCCTCCACAATTCACCGATGACTTTTTTAGGCTGTGGATTATCAGGTCCTCTATCTCTCTGTCCTGATGTGAAATAAATCCAGCCATCCCAGAAACTGGCCATTGTTGTTTTTACACGGTATGGGAGCTTTCCAATCACCGACCATTGCTGTTCATTTCAACACAAAATAATATACTCAAATTTCATTATTGTTATTTGCAACTGAAAATATACTCCTCAAATCAAATACGAACCAGTGTATCCAAATGAAATTGGAAGATCTCTCCGACTAAGAGCATCCTTTTAGTGAGTGGGTGCTTCTCAGTAGTGCCTCCCATAATAACAATGGAGTTGTTCCATACAATCCAAGAGGATTCTATATGGGAGTCGGGTTTTGGCATAGGGGCCAATACCTTCCACTTCATTTCACCCTCAATCATCATATAAACATCCCCATAAACCACCTGAACCAACATAATAGAATTAAGTTTTATTTACACAACAATAACAACAATAGCCCAACAGTCGACTCATTCACCTCAAGCCTCCTTGAGCACTTAAAGATAGGCGATCCTGGTTTTGCCATAAAATCACCCTCTTGACCACCAATAACGAAAAGCTTATCATCAACGGCAATACAAGCCCTATCACCAGTTATTAATAGTTAAAACAGTGATTTGAAGATGGAATCCATAATTTCTCAACTAAACAAAAAAATGTTGAAACACTAGTACCTACCTGTGCGGTCCCCCACGTGGTATGGGTATTTCTTTCCGCCATTGATTCTCAATTGCTTTACCATTCTTCACAGCAATACTCCAATGATCTGTTGCAGGTGTATGCCGATTCTCTTTGCTGCCACCCATTACATGGAGTCTTCCTTTCCAAATCTGAGTTGCTGGAGCATACCTGACAGTAGAGAGTTGTTGTGCTTTTTTTTAAGAATATGTGATGAAGAAACTGCTGCTCTCGAAAAAGACAACAAGTACCTAGGTGCTGGTAATGGTGGAAGGCTGTCCCACTTTTTGGTCTCAATGTCAAGCACAAACGAACGAGATGTAGGAGCCCCGCACTGAGGACCTGGCTGTCCAGACACAATATATACATATCTTGTTCCATCAGTTGCCACTCCCAAATGTGAATTTCCCATTTCTTTCGGTGTCTCAAATCTTCCGCACCACCTATTCTCCGTAAAATTGTATATATCCACATGTGAGTGCACCTATCACATCCATAACCATTTAAACAATCAGATATTTTTTTTTGATTCACACCATGTGAATAGATTCAGATTGAATTCCAGAATCAGCTTTAAGAATTGGGATATATATGACAAAAGAGAGCAATAAAAATATATTTACATAGTCAAGCGTTCCATATCCGCAAAACACGTATAGAAGATCCTTGATCTGAATTGCAGAACCATCCAAACGAGGTACAGGTGCTGAGGGCATCTGCTCCCATTCTAATTCTGGAGCAGGTAAATCAGCAAATGTAGCTGATAATACCCGTTCAGGATTATGATTCTTGCCTACTTTATCATCTGCTATCTGTCAATTATATATGAAATGATGATGAATTCAAGAGTTGAAGGTATATTTCGACCATTTTTAACACACAACATAAAAGTAATCAAAGGTATCATCATCATCAGGCTATACTCAAGATAAAATGAAGCGCATATATCAAAGATAAAGAACCGACCTTTAGTATTTGGGTGTTATGCGTCTCATGTGGAACCACAAAAACGTGGTTGGATGCAATTGATAAATATGAGGAGAAAGAAGAAGAAGAAGAAGCCCAGAGGAAATCGATCGTTGAAGCGATCCCAAGCAGGGCTACAAGAGATAAAATGAGGGTGGATTTCTTGAAACCGTGTTTTCCTGCTGCAGCAGAAGAAGAAGATACCATTTTGTTTAGAAAACCATTGAATTGAACACCTAATGAATGCTAGAGGGAATGTAATCTCGGCCTCTGTGTATACATATATCATCATCATCATCATCATGATGGATGGTACACATAAACAAATTAAAGTGGGCGCCAATGGTTTCTGTTGGTTTTCTAGGCAGAGGTCTATTTATTTATTTTCAAATAGTTGAAGGCTAAAAAAGGAAAAACACTATTTTGATTAAATTAAAAATGGGCCCGACCCGATTAAAGGCCCATCATTTTCATAGCCCAAAGGAAAAGGGAAAGCCTCTCCCAACTTCACCATTTCATCAGAAGGGAATAATCATCTGTATATCTCTCAAACACTGGTTACCTTCGTCCTTCTTTGGATCTCTACAACGCCCCGATCAGCTTTTTTCTTCTTCTTATTTTCAGGTGACACCCTTTTCTCTTTTTCTTTTTTTTTCCTCTCGATCTGCGATTCCTAGGGTTATATGCTCTGACGTTATCTTCTATTGACTTTTAATGCTTTCAATTCTATTTCCGCGTGATGTTATGACTATATAGTTTTAGATATCTTTTCTATGGTATTATTATTATTTTTTTATATGAGGTTCTTCTGGGTTGTAGATTAACATTCCAGGAATGCTTTTAGCTGCCAATAAAGTAGATCTTTTGATATATGACATCTTTATTGCTCTTATGGTTATTCATGGTTTCGGCTGTCTTGCCCTCGAAAACGGAATTACATAGAATTAGGGGTTTCACTGTTTTGCTTAGCATTTTATTTTTAGTGGGAGTCAGTCTCTCTTGGCTCAGAAACATAAAAATGGAATGGGAGTGAGACAGTGAGTGCTTGTGCTCTGAGACTGGAAAACGCCCTTCACGTCCGTTATAGAGCATTACCAGTGTTTTTGTACTCTTCTTGCATAAAAGATGGCTACTTTCCATATATTGTAACGGGGAGTAGTAGGAGAGAAACCTTAGTTGCTAGCAAGGAACAATAAGTGTACCCCAGAGTCCCGAATCAGTTTTTTTCATGCTGCATCAAGCTTGAAGGGCTTGCTTTGGAATACCTTCTTCGAGGATTAATCTCTACCAACCTAAGAGCTAGTATAATACTAGGAGATATCACACTCTTGTTCAAATTATAATTCTATAAATAAGTTGTATATAAATCACAGAGGTTTTTGACTACCTAACATCAGATGAGAATAGATCAGTGACAAGTGACAACCGCAGGGGATCTCTTTCCGGGGGTTAATTCATGGATCAATTTAATGTTGAGATATTATTGTTCAATCCAGTGCAATATTATGGGTTTCTAAAATGAAATTGTGCAATATAATCCATGAAACTTATATTATTCCATGCTTAAATTACCGCATGAACTAACCCAATACTGAAGTGCTGCAAAGCTACATTTTGTGATATACATCCAAATTTTGAATTATATAAAATTAATTCTTTCATATGAGATCCTTAGCTGCGTGCTTTCGAAATAGAAAAGAAGAAAAGTGAGAGAATCACTTGGATACATGTTGTATATTTTAAATAGTAAGTGAAACAAGAAAGGTAGATGCTGCATAAAATTTAGTAGCAACATGGACTACTGAACCCTGAATGTAATTGACTTGTACATCCAGAAACTTGATTTGGCTCTTCTCTTACTTGGCATCTCATTGGCAACAAATGAGATTCATATGTAAGCAATATTTGCTCATACTTGGTACAACGATAGTACAAAAATCAGGCCCTTAGTGAGTTCTTTACCAGCAGCTACCTCCCTCAAAGAATAATCTCTTGTTTATGTTTGTTTGGCTAGAAGAATGGATTTTGACCTATACATACTAAAACTCTCTAAGTCTGTTTTAGAAGTGCTCTTTAAGATTTTTGCTTCACACACTGTCATTCTTATTTTCTGAATAAACAGGGTTTTAATTTAAGATGTTTGGAGGTAGAGCAATCCACCGGTTGCTTAGAGAGAGACTTCAGTCACAAGCCACTGTAAGAGTTTTATTTTTCATGGAGTATGTTGTTTTCTTATGTACAATTAATATTGTTTATGTTTTTGACTTTTTCTCTCTTTTCTGGGAAAATAACTTCAATTGTTTTTCTTTGTTCCAGTCTTCTCCAGTTTTGTCGTCTCTTATCTCGAAGAAAGAGCATGAAGGAGTTGGATCTACCACCACCAAGTCCTTAAGGGCATTGGCCCTCTTTGGGGCAGGTGTAACAGGACTGTTGAGTTTTGCAACAGTTTCATCCTGTGATGAGGCAGAACACGGTTTGGATGCCCCAAGCTACCCTTGGCCTCACAAGGGCATTCTGAGTTCATATGACCATGCTTCGTGAGTCCTTCATTTGATTATATTCAATGAAAAAGTCATATTTAACTCTATATACTCATATGTGTTAGTTTGCTAAGTTGCAACCTGATCGGGAACATGTACTGAATAACTGATTTCAGTTGAGACCCTGTGATTTTAAACATTACTAAATAATAAATCTTAATATATAACTGATAAATTTTGAGTAATGTGGGATTTTAATGTTCTTTGTTCCACTTTCAGAAATGAAATTGTGTTTAGCTGTTTCTAGGAACTATGGTAATCATTTTCTACTGTGGTATCTAGTTGATCCCGTTTACGTGCGTAGATCTTTTCACTTTGAAAATTACGAAGATGCTCTTATTTTCCATAAAATTGATGGTCCTAGCTATGTTGACATATCTTGATCAATCTCAAACAGGATTCGTCGTGGTCACCAGGTTTACCAACAAGTCTGTGCGTCCTGCCATTCCATGTCCTTGGTCTCATACCGTGACTTGGTGGGTGTTGCATATACAGAGGAGGAAACTAAGGCTATGGCAGCTGAGATTGAGGTAGTTGATGGGCCTAATGATGAGGGAGAGATGTTTACTCGTCCTGGGAAACTGAGTGATCGTTTTCCTCAGCCGTATTCAAATGAACAAGCAGCTAGGTTTGCAAATGGAGGGGCCTATCCTCCAGATCTAAGTCTCGTCACCAAAGTATGGCCTGCTTCTCCATCCAGTTAATTGATTTGGAAATCCTTTGTATCTGTCTCAACTAACTATACTTTTCTTTGCATCATTAGGCTCGTCATAACGGTCAAAATTACGTCTTCGCACTTCTAACTGGATACCGTGATCCTCCTGCTGGTGTTTCAGTAAGTTCTTCAAAAGAAGCTTGCATGTGAAAGTATTATTTTTCTATATCAGTGGAGTGGCCTGCAGGATCTTCTCTCATCAGCCTTAGTATTTGACTCAAAACATTGTCCAGCCATTCTAACTTGGTCTTGGGATGGAATTTTCGTTTTATTTTGTCGATACACTAATAAGGCAAGGGTATTTCATGTTGCAGATTCGTGAAGGATTGCATTACAACCCGTACTTCCCTGGAGGTGCTATTGCGATGCCCAAAATGCTTAATGATGGTGCTGTTGAATACGAGGATGGTGTCCCTGCAACGGAAGCTCAGGTAAGCTCATTGCTTATTCTTGTGATGCCTCTGTGCATCTGTATCTTTATATATTCAACATGTTTGTGAAAGCTTATGGCTTTATGTCCTGCTTAATGTGTGTAGATGGGGAAAGATATTGTGTCATTTTTATCCTGGGCTGCGGAGCCTGAAATGGAAGAGAGAAAACTGGTAAGCCATCGATTGCTCACTCATATGTAGTAAGTAATGATTGTATCATGGGCCAATGTTTTGACATGTTTTAATGGTGGCGGGAAACAGATGGGATTCAAGTGGATACTTGTTCTATCACTGGCACTTCTTCAAGCTGGTTACTATAGGCGTTTGAGGTGGTCTGTCCTCAAGTCTCGCAAGCTCGTCCTTGATGTTGTCAACTAGATACCCCACCCCCCATTTACATTCTCCCCTTTCCGTTTATGAATTTATTACATTACCCTAATAATTGTGTCTTGTGTCATCCATATACTTGCTCTCTCTCTCTTTTTTTTTTTTTAATGTGCTGCTCTAAAGCAGCAGCAGCTGTCATTTTCGACCTTTTTTCCCAATTTTGCGGAAGAATAAGGAATTCATTCTTCAGTTGTGAGTTGAAACAAACTAGTTATTGCTCATCGGTACTTTGTATGATGCTGCTGATGATGATATTGTTTTGGAGCTCCTCGTGAAAGCGAAATATTTATTACGCTATCTGGATTTGTTGTTATACATTTCTTGATTAGGGTTGTACAAAATCTGTTTCGCCGGAATTTGAATGAATTGATTATTATCGTGAAAGGACGAGAGAAAATTACCAAATTGGAGTTTTCTTTTTCTTCTTTTTTTTTTTTATTTATAAATTAATCTGTTAAGTTTACAGAAATTACAGAAACTATAACCAATCAAAGCTAAAAGAAAATGTGTTGTCTGGAGAAATTAAATTGTAAAAAAAAAAAGCAATTTAAATTTATATTGAACCGAAGGTGATAAGCTAAATTAATGTATACAAAAAAAAAAAGAGATAAAATTTGGTGAAAATATGTAAAAATCAAATAGTAAATATATTGTGTTTCCAAGAGTAAGAATCTTTTCCAACAATAAATAATCGGAATATTAGGTAACTACAATTTGAATTTTGGAGACACCAAAACTCCTTCTTTATTCCCCTCTTCCGTGCCGTCGTCTCTATTAATTACCTTTCTCTTCTCTCTCTCTCTAGTCTCTAACCCTTTTCTTCTTCTTCTTCTCTCTCTCTTCCTCAAATTCACACAAACCTACGTAAATATTACTTCTTTTCTTCACATAATACATACACATAGATTGCGCAGTCTTCGTTTGGGAGTACATACATAGTTAAATCTCGATTATTGTCGGGATAGATAGAATCAGAATGAATATGCATGGTGAACAAGCTCGTTTGAGTTCGATATCAAGGCGAACCAGAAGCAAGTGGGATGATTTTTACAAAACCCGGCACAATGAAATTAAGAAGAAACCTCAACAACATCATGAAGATGATGATATCATCATTAATAAGGTAGCCCTGGTGGAGAATATTGATGATTCAACAAGTAATGAAGAAGAAGACGACGATGGTGATTTTGGTGATACGGACTATAAAGGAGCGAATGCCCGCAAACATAATAAACATGCGGTGGCGGTGGTGGTTGAGAAGAAGTCGAAAGGAGGGACAAGACGACAAGTCAAGAGAAAGGCGGGGTCTTTTATAGCTCGTGGAGAAAAAGTGGATTTGACTGACATTTTAGTGGATTCCTTATGGAAGCAAAATATGCAGGATTTAGTCATCAAACAAGATCCAAAACCAGTTAGTCAATGTTCATTGTTACCTCTGAAATTCAAATTTGAAGATGATCAAGATTCCTTTACACATGAGAAAACTGATCATGACAGGGAAATTGATTCTCTCTTTCATGATTTAGAAATGGGGTTATGGGAATCTCAGATTGGATGCACTAATTCTAATTCTAATCCTTCCATTGTAAGTCATATTTACTTGTCCTTATTTCCCTCTGCTGCTGTTTTTGCCCTTACTCATATTTGTAACTCAATACTACGTTTACGTTTTTCACGTCTTCTTCAATCGCGCAGTTGTTCGAATGTCAACTGATATATGTCATTTTATTTATTTTGTAGAACTCTGCTCCTTAATTAAATATTGTATTGTATTGCTGATGTACAGAGTGATGATGAATATAGCATCTCTATGGATGAAAGTCGAGCTGCACGATGTGGGAGAGGGGATCATGATGCTTTTCTTGATGAACAGATTGGCATCATATGCAGTTATTGTTCTTCTTTGCTACTCGAAATTAAACACGTCTTGCCCCCTTTTGTAAGTATCATCAATTCACCACATAATATATATATACATTGTAAGATTTGTTAACTTGAACGAATAATGTTAACTGATCTGATATAATGCTCCTCTTCTCCCTGCAGTACGTAGAATCTCCCGAGAAACGTGCGAGGAAACGGTACTCTGAAGAAGAATCAAACAACGAAAAAATGCATTTTGCCAATCTTGAGTCGTCTAGTTGTACTATTCATCATTCTGAAAAAGGCGGCAGCAACAGCAGCAGCAGCAGCAGCAGCACAGTTATGGATTTGATCCCTGATGCTGATAAGAAACAACTGTATCCACATCAATTACAAGGACTGGAATTCCTATGGAGAAACATAGCTGGAGACATCCACATCAACAATATGGCAACTCTACCTGCAAATGGTGGAAGAGGCTGCATAATCTCTCACGCACCTGGCACCGGCAAAACCAGACTGACAATAGTGTTTCTCCAAACTTTCATGAAGCTCTACCCAAACTGCCTCCCCGTCATCATAGCTCCACGCGGTATGCTCCTCACTTGGGAGCAGGAATTCGCCAAATGGAATGTCGACATCAAATTCCACAACTTGAACGAGACAAAGTTATCCACTCAGGAAATGGAAATCGCCTCCACTCTTACAGATCATCAAAGCGGCCACGAAAAGAATAATAATAATAATAAAGACTATATTCGATTTGTAAAGCTGTTTGCTTGGATGAAGGGTGGGAGTGTGTTGGGAGTTGGGTACCGTTTGTTCGAAGAGCTTGCTGGAGAAAAACATGACAAAAACAACAACAAATTCAAGAAAATACTATTGGAATCACCAGGCCTATTAGTGCTGGATGAAGGTCACACACCTCGCAACAATCAAAGTCTAATGTGGAAGGCTCTCACAAGGACATCCACCCATAGGCGCATAATTCTCTCTGGAACACCTTTTCAGAACAACTTCACTGAGCTCTACAACACACTCTGCCTAGTTAATCCTACATTTTCTCAGCAGATCACGAAAGCAACAAATCGTGGTAGGAAACAAAAGGTGGCCAATGCAGTGAAGGACGAGTGGGCGTGTCTGACGAATTCTATAAGCAAAAAAAATGATGAGCGAGTGAAGGAGCTCCGATCGATGATCGAGCCTTTTGTACACATACACAAAGGTGATATACTCGAGAAAACTCTGCCAGGAATGAGGGACTGCATGATTGTACTAAGACCAACTGATGTGCAAAAGAAACTAGCGGACAAGATTGATCAAGTGCTGGTCGATAAATTTCTAGAGCATGACTACTTAGCATCACTTATATCAGTCCACCCTTCACTTGTAGCAGACAGACCAGAATTCTCCGATCAGAAAAGAAAGCTGAAATCCCTGGAATTGGACCCTTTAGCTGGAGTGAAAACACGGTTCTTGGTGAAGCTGATAGAACTATCGATTCGAGTACAGGAGAAAGTATTGGTATTCAGCGAGTACATAGACCCACTGCAGCAGATAAAGAAGCTGATAAAAGACTATTTCTGCTGGCACGAAGGGCGGGAAGTGATATACATGGATGGGAATTTGGAGTCAAAGCAGAGGCAGGTAGTGATAAATTCGTTCAACGATAAGAAAAGTGAGGCAAAGGTGCTTCTAGCATCACAAAGAGCATGCTCGGAAGGGATAAATTTGGTGGGTGCGTCGAGATTGGTGCTGCTAGACGTAGCATGGAACCCTTCGGTTGAAAGACAGGCGATATGCAGAGCATATAGGATAGGTCAAGAGAAGATGGTTTATGTTTATCATCTCCTCACATTAATGGAGGTGAACAAGTATGTGAGGCAGGCTGAGAAAGACAGAATATCTCAGCTCATATTTGGTCATCAAGGCGGAGGCGGAGGCAATGAGCTTGTTTCGGAGGATAAACTGCTGGAAGCAATGGTTCGTCATGAGGAGAAAAGTGTTGTTGATAATAATAATAATAATATTAGTATGTTTGAGAGGATTGTTCATCAACCCAAGGAATCTGATTTCATCAACACTTTTGGTTTTGTTGATCTTAATTAATAATCACTGATTGATTTTACTTCAACATATATCTATATTGTTTATTTGTATACACAAACAATCATACTAGTCACTCCTATATATATATATATGTTGAAAATATTCTGATGAGCACTGGGAAGAAAGAAAAAGCTACTCTTGATTTTGTTTCACAGAGTTTGATTCAAGATTTTGATTGGTTGATTGGTTGGAGATCTCGTATTTAATTCAAGATTTTGATTGGTTGGACACGGGTCCAACTGACACTATATTTCGTTGCCATTTCTGATCCTCAAAGTCAACCAAAATATTTTATTGGGCCTCAAAATAATAGTAATACTTCAATAAGAATTAAGAACAACCAATTTTTTTTTCACGAGACCAAGCTCTATTTATTAATTAATAATAATTTATACTAGTAAATTAAATTGTAAATAATCATACGTGTCCCGTTCACCTCCTCTCTGCCATTAACAATGAAAAAGCAACATAGTTCTTGAACAACTCAAATTCCTCGAAAACTGCAGCTACCAAAAGCTATCCTCCTCCGCCGCCGCCGGCAACACCATCGCCGCCCTCCCTTTTCTTCTTTTTATCCTATAACGCTGATCGGCTCTTCTCAAACTCAATCAATTCACCACAAAAAAAGAAAAGGAAAAAAAGACGACCTTTTTATAAAGGTCGAGACTTTTCAACCCCTCGTACGAATGCGTGTGTTTCTGAATTAATTCTCTTTTGTTTCCCCCAAAATCCCTCAATCAAATATTCAATCGAAGAAGATCATGGATATTATTAACACCACCCTCAATTCTCTACCATACTCAAACCCCCTTCCTCTTTTCTTCGCCGTTTATCTCACCCTCTACACCGTTGCTTATTTCATCATTTTCCGGAAATGGGTCCCCAAACTCCGACCCGAAGCTTCGAGCTGCGTCATATCCCTCGCCCACGGCACCCCTGCTGTTTTCTTGGCCTCCGCTGCCATCCTCTCCGACCCGGCCCGCGATTTTCACTCCCCCAACACCCCCTTCCAAAGCATCGTCCTTGATTACAGCATTGCCTATTTTTTGATGGATCTTCTCCATTACTTGATCTTTTACCCCACCGACCTTCTCTTTATCGGCCACCATTTGGCCACTCTCTTCGTCTTCTTGACCTGCCGTTACGTTGTGTATCACGGTGCTTTTGCAATTCTGGTGCTTTTGGTTCTGGCGGAAGTAACAAGCTTGTGCCAGAATGTGTGGACTCTTGCCTGCGCCCGAAGATCGGATGTCAAATTTGCAGCTAAAGTGTATGATCTACTGTCCCCTCCGTTTTACGGGTTGTATTCTGTGGTGAGGGGTTTCTTGGGACCTTATTTTGTCTACAGAATGTTTGCATTTTACATGAGTGGTGCTGCTGATAGTGTGATACCCAAATGGGTTTGGATTTCTTGGGTAGTTGTAGTTTTCATGGCCATTTCAGTTAGTATTTTATGGATATTGAATCGCTGGATTGAGTTCTTTAGTGAAAGGAACAATAATGTGGCCGTGGCCGTGGCCGCCGATAAGAAAGTTAGATAGGAATTGCTGAATACAAAAAAGAAAGACTTGAAGTTGTTCTACAGTTTGTATTACTCCTAAATTGTGTTCAACGGAATGTATTAATAAAGATACATGAATGCAATTCAACTATTGTTCTGTTCTTATTCTTGCAATAAGAAGAATGTGGTCAGTTTCGATTATGTAGAGGACGATCATATTCGATTTCGTATATAAGTTTATGTTGGTGTTAATTGTTGTTTGCCTTGCTGATGAAATATATAATATTATTGTGATAGTTATCAGTTGTGGTGAGGCAATCCAAGTTAAAATAATCCAAAATGTAATATTATAATAGCTTAATTAATTGCTTTGTAATGTGGACAGGACACTATTGAATCTTATCTGTCCAGATAGACATTTTATTGGATAAAACTCTTTGTAGTTGGAATAGGTAAAACTTAATGGTTTAGATTGAATAATGAGTTTATTGGTTTTGTTGTAGAGTTGTGAATGTAAACTTGTTCTCTACTTCCTCAATAATCACCTTGTGATGTATGCTCTGCTTAAACCGATAATGCTGCATTCAGACATAGATTTTACATAAGTTTCTTCTTTGGAGTTTAAGATGTGTTTTATTTGCCTTGTTGTCCTCCTGCATTTCATGAATTGTATTGTGTTGATAAATGTGCACACATCATCTAATTATCATATTGATAAATAAGAAATCCATCCATGTTGGTGCACTCACAAAGTATGTTGTTGGTGCAAAAGCAAACCCGACCACCGAAAAATGGGAAATCTATAGAGCAACAAACATTGTAAAAATAAATGAACTAAGGTTAAGATCATCTTACAACTTATGTAGCACTAATGATAGATCAGTAATAAGAAGGAAACCTGTCATGAAACTGAGGAACCAGATAACTTCCAATGACGTGGATAACAACTCCAAACATGTTGGCTGCAGCTATAAGCCAGGCAGGTTTCTCTAACGAAACAAGTATGTTGTCCTGCTCATTATTCCCGAAAATCCAGTAGCCAATAAGAGCAACAGGGAAAGTAACAATGAAGTATGCAACAAGCACTCCTCTCCTCGTTGCCTGAATCTCCAACACCACATTATGTCCCGCAAAGGCAATAGCCACTTCCCCAAGTGCTGTGAAAAAATCAAAAACTTTTGCTTCGAGCTGGATATCCATATTCAAGCAATCGTCGAGTAACTCTGTACAGAGCTTTTCACCAAAGGCATGCTATGCTGCCCAAGTTCATGGTATCTGTCAAAATGTTTAAGAATTACAATTCACAAATAAGATGTAAATAAAATAACGTGACTCCGTTTATGTAAGTAGCTTCATTAATATTTTATTGTTATAACATGTTGTTGTTGTTGTTGTTGTTGAATTGAAGGTTAGAGTAACCATCCAAGAGCTGCCATAGCATAAGGGAGACTGAGGACACCAGCACCAACCATGGCGGTAAGTTTCCTGTAATCAGCCATCACAACTATTTGGATTATGTGTCTATCCAATGACAGTTGTATCACAAGTTTCCTTATCGAAGTAGATTTACATTAGGTGGGATATAAGAGTTACGATCGGGTACTCCCTTGGTTTCCATGGTGTTGGTAAAGGATCGGTCTTGCATTGTTGTTATGAACTTGTGAATTTTGTATTTAAAAAAAATAAAATTTGTCCACTGTATGGGAAGAGCATTAACAAGAGGTTGTAGCGACAGACTATGGTTTAATGCTTCTTGAAGCAAACAACACGAATGAAACACGACTAGGAATCAAACTACAGGCACTATATGTGGTCATATTGCTGTTTATAACTAGTACTGTCTTCTCTAGAGATTAGCACCAATGCTGACATCATCAGAAAAATAAATTTTTATAATGTTGTAAAATCCAAGCCCAGTTCATAGTGATTGTCACCATACAAATGCATGCTGACATTGGTAAACGAACAGAAACTTGTTTTATATACCAATATTTGGAAAGGGCTCCAACTCATCACTACTGATCATCAAATATTATTTTCTACTGTAATGTTATATATAACATATATGCTTTAATATTTCTTTCCTTAGTGAAGAATGTTAAGACGGGTTTGTCAAGGGAGAAAGACAACTTTTACGAGAGCTTAGGAAAAGGCAAATTGAAATCACTACACGGAATGAATAATTGAGGTACAGCCCTCATCCTTCCCTTTCTATCTGTGTTTTCATCACTCTCTCTATCTCTTGTTATTTTGGACGTTTGTTGTTATTGGAGAAAAATGGGATAATAAGTAACACCATAAACAAAATCAATTTAACTCATATTCCATTTGAATTGTACAACATTATGACTGTATTCTAAATTTTACACTGATAATTTTTTCTTCTTTTTAATCATTCAAGGATTAAAAATTCCAGAAAACAGTAAACATATTTATACACACACACACACATACACACAATAAATGCAGACATAAAGAAACACCTATATCTATATGGAAACATCTACCAAGATGAATAGTCAGACCAAACACACAAATCAACCATCCTCAAGGCCAAGATCAGACATTCTTGATTTCCTCTGTTCCAACTATATATAGTTTAGTAGTAATGTAGTATTGGATCTCCGAGATGCTTATGAGTAGAATTTGTAGTCTTTTGCTTGGACTATGATCTGCCTTAGTCCTCCAATAGGTGCTACAATCATCAACATTACTCCTAGGACAATGCATATCTGTAATTTTTACGTACAAAACCATCATCAGCCAGTTAATAATAAAAGAACAAATTCAAGAATGTCTGATATTTTGAGTTGTAACGGCTTACCCAGTTAGCGATCCAAGACAGGCTGAATCTCTTTGGCTTATAGATGGCAAGCCACATGATGCACGGAAGCTGAAGGAAACATTAATCGTTTGTCTTATATATTCTGCTATTAAAAAAAAAAAAGACATTGAAACTATACAACACAAATGAACATGCTTACGAAATATGTGGTTGGCGCAAAAGCAAATCCTCCGAAAAATCCAAGAAGCCCACCGAAGAAGGGGAATGTAATGCCAACAAACATTGTGAATGCTGAAGACAAGATTTAAATAAATTGGTAAACATAGTTGCGGAACTGATAACCAATAGAAGAAATTGTAGCCAAACAAAAACTGTTGTTAGTAGCTTAACATACCGACGTAAAAATTCCTTGAAATAAAACGCAGATACCAAGTAGGCTTGAATTTCAGTTTCTTCACAAGGACAGTTTCAATCATGTCAAAAACAGGCATTGCGTATATCTGCATCATCAGTACAAACCAAAACAGAGTTATATTATGAATTATTTGCTTCCTCGTACAAACAAAAATACAAGAACAGAGTTGGATGATGTCTTTTTTACCTGATAGCTTCCAATAACATGAATGACAACAAACATGTTAGCCATAGCAATGAGCCAAGTAGGGTTCTGTAATGACATGAGAATATTGTCGTCGACTGCATTGCCAAACATCCAATATCCGATAAAGGCGACAGGGAAATAGCACAAGGCAACAACAATATAAGCAACAACAACTCCTCTCCACATAGCTATCTTTGATGGCTTCTCCGGTGTTGAAGGAATAGTTGCTTGAATTTCCAAGACTACATTATGACCCGCATACGCAAAAGCTACTTCTCCCAATGCACTGAAGAAGTTGAATACCGTACCAATTTTAGTCGTAGCTTTATACCCATACTGCACATCTGGTTGTACTCCCTTGTCTACCGAGGCACCCCATGCAATTGTCGAATAACTTCACCACACAAAAAAAATCAAGATTCGTTATTTCATAATTTCTTGAAGAATATAAAAGAGTGTGTGTGTGTGTGTGTGTGCGCGTGTGCGTGTGTGTGTGTATAATGTATGTATATGTAATATGATGTACCTACCTCAAGGACATGACTGCTGCAGCCAAAGAGACACCAGAGATTGAATTGAAATTGGGAAGGTGAGAGAGTACAAAGTGGACGGAGGCAAAGATCATGATAAAAAAGGAGAGCTTGATGCTTTTGCAATCTTTGCAGACCAAATCATGGAATTTCTTGAGTGATTTTCCACCAGTGACCATGTAAACAATGTCTACTCCAACTTCAACGATCAATTGTTGGGGTACTACAATGTAAAGACCGAGTTTTTCACCAAAGGCATGCTGTCCAAGTTCGTGGTATCTGTCGAAACGTTTACCAGGTACCATTTCATGCATCTCAACCATTTGCCACAATGTGTATAATGTGATGATCCATGATATGATCATCACTGATACTCCGGGACCCCTGATCAAAATATTACACACGGAATGAAAATCCATCCTTGTAATTTTATTAAGGTGTTAATAATTAATTGTGGGAAGGAATATTAGTAGGGATTACCATCCAAGTTCAGACATGGCATAAGGGAGACTGAGAACACCAGCACCAACCATGGCGGTGACATTGTGAAAAGCAGAGTACCACCATTTTGCATTTCTTGATGAAGTTATTGGCAACCATGCATCTATTGCCTTCTCTTCTGCAGTCCTCTCATCACCCTATACATACATTCATATATTTATGCACGTTCAGTTTTTTTCCGGTTATATTTCTATTTGATTTCAGTTCTGTTCTACTGCAAAATATGGCATGAAAACTAATTCGGGCAATCATATATTTGTAGCCATTAATAATATTTAGTGTAATATTAAACTTGCTCAAAAAAGGTGTTGATCGATTAAAAAATGTCTTGCTTGTGTCCAAAAAAAATTGCTTCTTTTTGGACTAAAAATAAAAATAAAGTTATGTATTATTATAACAAGAAATTGAAAAAGAAAAAGGAGTTGAAAATTGAAGTCAAGTATTGTGAGTGTGAGATATTATTATTAGGTAGACATTGAGGCCAAATTAAAAGGTATGATGAGATTTGAAAAGGATCAATTAGAGTATATATGTCCATACGTAATATGTGAATTGTGATTATAATATAAAGTCAAGTCCATTAATACAGCTGTACGTAGTAGTTATGGGATGAAATAAGTTAAGGCCAAACATAAATGAAATGAAATGAAATGTGCAAAGTTGAATAGTATGTATTATGGAGTCACAAGTAATTAGACAGAGACTCTTAATAGAATTGAAAGCATTTAATTAATTGCCGTAAGTTAAAGGTTGTCGTGAAAATAGTGTAGTTACGTTGACTAAGCAAGTATGTGAATCTGGTTTTTTTGAGTAGAATATATGTATGTGTTAGTGAGATGCATGTCATCTTCCAAACATGATCGATCGATCATGGTTTTAACATACATATATATATATAGACAGACGCCCATCGGATATCGGATCGGATCGGATCGGAGGACACGAAATCTAATTAATTTGCATTTATTTTCATAAGAAAGAAATAATAATTACATTAGTGGTTGGGCATATATATATGCATGTGTTTTGTATAAGTACTTTGTTTCTTTTGTTGTTTAAACTTTGAGCAAAGTCGAGAAAATTCTAGGTACAAAAAGAATGATTATATATATTTAAAGAGGAGAAGAAAGATATATAGGGATATATGTAGGATCGGGGGAGGTAATTAGAATAGGATGCGGAAGAAGATGATGGATGTGTGTAGTTAAGATGAATTAGTGAACTTACATTTTTGGAGTAGTAGGCCTTGCCATCATCATCAGGACCTTGAGTTCCCATTATTGCTCTGATCTGATATCTGATCGATCACCCCAAACTAAACTATACTAAACTAAACTAAACTATAGAGAGAGAGAGAGAGAGAGAATTGAAGAGAGAGAGAGAATTGAAGAGAGAGGAATACGTATGTAGTTATATCTTATAAAAGTATGAACTCCGATATATGGATATATGAACTCTTAGCTTTCTTGAAAATGTCGTCCAGTCCCTCACCCTTTTTGTAGATGAAACTTATGAGACAGAGTCAGAGAGACGGATTTGAAGCAGACGTTTATATTTGACTTTTAGAGACTAGTAGCAGTAGTACCATAATTATAAAACTAATTAGCTACACAGATTTTGAATTTTATTATAAATAATAAATTAAAAAAAGGAAAGAAGTAGGACCTTCCATGCTGTCGTATTTTCCTAAGAAAATTCCAGGAACCTTAACACACTTTCAACTCTCCACCCCGGCCGGCAATCCTAATTAAAGGATCATTTTTTCTTTATTTTTTTCACACCTTCTATTAATTATTATTAATTATTAATACATAATAAAAACAAAAAAAATTATGTCGATCACATTATTAATCTATATAGTAATAATACTCCATATATATGCTTATTAATCATAACAGACTAATTAAATATTCCAGCTGCTACTGCAACGTAATTAGATTCCGGGTTTATATTAATTTGATCGCCCTCCGGATTTTCCTGAAATCGTCCAGCTAATCAAATTCAATTTATTAATCCATCCACCAATAAAATAACCAAATTTTGACAACGTCTATTTTAAGTTTTTAACTGCATATTATTATTAAGCTTTCATTGATTTCAACAAACTTGGGAATTAATTAATTAATAACGGCTATTTTTAATTTCTAGGACAAAATCAAAATGGAAAGAAATATTCTTGTGACCTTCAATTTGTTTTGTGCTCTTAATTAGTATCGATGGACATCGTTGATCTTGTGATTTTAAGAATGATAAATTAGAAATTACAAACAGACCATTGAAAAATATGTGTAATTATTCAAACACGTGGCCAATCCATGGTTATAAGCTTAATTTTGGTGCCTACATTTATTGAATTTTCATAGAAATGACAAATAAAATAAAATCAAGTAACCACACAAGTTGGTATGAGAAGGTTGACTTTTGATATATATCTTTTGGCTGAGTCGTCGTTAGAAATTAGAATCTCGTACCTCTCTCACATTTCCGTGTTAATTCCAAGAATCTCTCCCATTTGTACTTTACTTGTTTCATTGCATTTTTTCTTTTTTTCCCCCATAAAATAAAATAAAATAAAATAAAATAATAATAAAATGGTCAAAGGGAAAACCATAATAATAAAGTTGTGTCTACACTGAATTTTGACAATCATATTCATATCATTCTTTGAAACTTCATCTCAACTCCATTTCTAAATTCTAATAATACAAGTAATTAACGTCAACTGCACATATCACAAGTTAAGGTAAATTTGAAGACATCATCTATAGACTATATATATATTCTTTAGACGAATTTAATTGGTTTCACATGATGAAACTTACAGGCAGGTATGGAAATAATTGAACAATAGCTATACAGATAAGCGAAGACTTGCATTATATTGGTGGACGACGACTGAGTAAAGGTAGTCAACACTCAACAATTAATATGTAATTAAAACGTACTTGTCCCATATTTATCAAATAATTCTTACAAATACTCTGATCAAATATATATATGCATGTATGACAAATATTAAAGTATAACAGCTGATCGATCTGAAATCCAAGTCAATGAATTCAAAAGCAAACAAAGTTGCAGCTCACAAGTCAACTAAACCATGTGCCGTGTGCGAATCCCTCAGCTGCTATCCTATTTTTGATTATCAACTTGTGATCGATCAGATTATTTTTATTTTGTTTTTGTCCTGTGATCCTTCATTCTACTCTAGCAGTTTACTCATTTCAATTTTATATTCAGCTGGCTGCGATAATCGTAACCGCTAGCCGGAATTTATTCAACTTTACTCGATCTCTCCCTAAAATCAAATGTACGTTGGAAAATAAGTACAATTCAAGACTAATTATTAACCTGCGTGCTTCCAATATTCAACTCTAATTCGATTTTACAAAATACATTAATCCATTGAAATTTATAATTGCATATTCACATCAAACTGGATTAACATATATATATGGTTGGACTCTTTTGGGTGATGTTAGCATATTATTCAATTCAAAGCTTGAGGAATCTGACAAATGCATAGTTTTCGTAATTTCTACTCTATAATAATAATAATAATAATATTCTTTTGATTTAATTATATTATATTGTTGCCTAATTTTCTAAATTGTGACATCAGATGAATTAATATAATGAACGATTGAGCCTGAACTTTATTTACCAAGTCAGAACAATAAACGTCATACAATGTCATGCAGATGTAACAAAAAAAAAAATATCCGGAATTAATTTGTTGTTAATTAGGGTTTGCGGCATCGGTTATATTGATTTAAACTTACTATCCAGCTAATTAGCTGGCACGTGTCGATTATTTATAGGCTAATAGCTGAAAATAGAACGAGAATAGTTAAACTCATAACACGTTTTTTATAAGTCATCAGCAAGCAACTAACTAACAAACATAACGACTGCTGCAACATGAGAAATCTAATCATGTATAAACAATTGAATTTATCAATATAATGAAAAGTAAAGTCTATTTATTTTTGTGAATTGCAGAGTATGATATTGTATTCAGAACATGCAATTGTGATTCTAAAAATATGTATGGAAAGTAGCTAGATAGTGCTGAATTCAGTCATCCATCATAATATTGAAGTAATAGTGGCCTGCAGCTGAAAAATTACTTTGGATAACCGGACAAATAACATATCAAAATTGGGCTGGAAAAGAAGCCCAATATTAAAAGAGTGAAACTAATATGGGCCCAATTAGAAAAACTGGTAGCCCTTATAGATGGGCCCAACAACTAAATCATCTCTTTAGATATATTTCCACTGTACTCCATATATATCCCTTATATATGGGCTCCATCTAACATTCAATTTCAACCCCTTGTGAGTTGTGATAGATAATTAATCTCTCCAATAGTGTGATTATTAAACTCCCATTAAAAAAAAAAAAAAAAAAAAATCCACCTGAATTAACAATAAGAGTCTAATTAACACAACACAGCAACAAACTTAATCAACACATAATAATAAAGACGCATTTCATTTTGTACACTGAAAAGAAAAACTATCTTAAATCTCTCAACTCACAATTGTCTTAAGCAGCTGATAGAACAGAGCGTTCATATATCTCAAATGGCTTTGGATCACCACCCTCCACCATATGTTGTTGTTGTTGGCTTGGACCTCCAAAGCACAGATACTGGTTCATTAACCTCATATTCCCCATACTACCATTTCTGCTGTGGTGCCCCCCCGTTTTCTTGTCATTCATTTTCGCCATCTCATTCTCAATCTGAACTCCTTTCTGAGTGTCCAACGAACTCTGCGATGAGAATGACAGTTTCGACATCGAACTCGAACGCGATCTCCCATGATGATGTGGCACTGTCAAATTCGGAACAGCCTCCATAACACCTTGCGTCACCCCTGAAGCCAGCTTCTTCTTTGCCATCGGACTTTCTAAGTTGCTCCTAACCGAAAGCGCCCTTTTGTTGTTGTTCGAGAATCTCTGACGAAGCGGGACCGGCACTTGTTCCGAACTAGAACTCCTGTTTCTCTTCTTAGGCCAATGGAGGAGCCGTTTCAGACGCTCGTTTATACTACTAGCAGTGCTCCTTTTAGGACTAGGATTCCCTATATGCGAACCGTGTTGGCTCGTTGTCAATTCTGGTGAGTTCAAATTGCTTAGTCCAACACTACGAGTCCCTTCCGATGCATTTTCAATCCCCGTGTACAAGAATATTTCAACGTCGTTTATCCTGAATGAAGTGCCTGGACTGTTCCCTATACTCTGCCTCTTGATGTGTGATGCAATAGCTCTTCTTGCAGAGTAGTCCTGCGAACTGAATATCCCACCTGCAGATATCAACTGTCTCGTTAGCAATTCGGACGATGCAGAATACGGGCGTTGCTTCAGAATATCGAGCGGTGTCATTCCATCTGTATCGCGTATATTCACATCAATGCACTTCACAGTCATGAGCAGCTCAACCAGATCGGAGTGGATATTCCCTACGATCGCCAAATGAAGGGCAGTTCTACCGGCTTTGTTTTTCGTGTTGATGATTTTTTCTATGTCGAAAAGTTGTCCAAATAGTAAGTGCTTCATCAGTTCGATTTGGCGATCCAATCTCCTGAAACCGGGAGTCTGGAAACCGGCAACAACAGAGTGCAGAAAAGTTTCTCCGGCGTTGTTTACAGCATTGATTGAAGAAGGTGATGCGAGAATTAGGGATTCTACAACAGCTAGGTGGCCTCTGTGAGCTGCCACGTGTAATGCTGAATTGCCTTGATTGTCTGTGGAGTTGATTATCTCCGACGATGATGCGAGATCTTTCACCACCTGCGTTACGTTTGTCAATACAAGCAGATTGATTATTACAAAGCTGAAAATCAATTTATAACAATTAAAAGAGATTGAAATTATAGAAAGTCACCTGAACTTGACCACGGGCAGCCGCCGCATGTAAGAGGGTTGCTCCCTGAATATCTCTATAAGCCAAAATACCATCGGAGCAATCACCGAGAAGGTCCTTCAACAGCCGGAGATTACCACCTCTTGCGGCGGCGTGGAGAGCCCTATTCGTTATTTCCACCTTATAAGCAGAAGGGACCTCTCCGATGTGTTCCTCCACCGCCCCTCCTGCGCCGGTGGCAAACCTAGGTGAGGCGGCAAAATCAAGAACCAGCCTGAAAACCTCGGAGTTGTTGCTTCTTGCAGCGGCGTACAAGATATCAGTGACGCCATATTCACCCTCACCAAAGACCAAAAGGGGTTCTCTTTCCAGCAATTCTCGGACAAAACTGAGGTCCCCGGCGGAGGCGGCGGTGTACAGTAGCCAGCCACCGTAACCACCACCGATGAGGGAGTTTTTACCTTTCTTGATTTCGCACTCGGTGAGGAGCTTTCTAGCAACCTCGGAGCGGCACTTGGCGACATCGTCAAACTGTTGTTCATCATCCCAGACGGTTTCCAAGCGGCGGATTCTGCGGAGAGAAGTGAGTTTGATGAGGTGGTTGCCGTCGAGGCGGAGGAGCTCCCGCACTAAATCATAGTGGCCGTTGGCTGCTGCCCAATCAATAGGAGAAGCGTACCACCATTGATCTCCGGTGCTTTCCCATCGCAGAGGGAAGTATGTTGGAGGAGACATTTTCAGACAGAAGAAATAATAAATTTGGGATAATAATAATAATTAGTACTAAAAAACCTTTTGACTCGGTTTAGAATCCGACACTAGGTTATGTTGATGAGATTAATCCTTTGGTCAAAGGATAAAATCTTGAAGGCAAAATCCGATTTGAGCAATAAAGATTATACCTTTTCAGTATTGAACACAAACCTTACTTAAACCCTTTGAGTAAAAACCAAAGACGAATTAAGAGGATACTGTAATAAGATTCTTCTTTGTTCAAAGACAGAAGAGAATAGTTTTGCAGAAAGCTTTTTCAATGAGATGATTGAAAAGAATGGCATAAAAGGAAAATATAAATTTAAAACAGAATAATGAGGCAGACCCTACCCACTTTAACTCACTATATATATATAAGGTGAAAATGCAAATAAGATTTATTGGAGTTCTACAGACAAAGTGGAGAGGAGGATCCATCATGCATGCCACAATGATAATTAAGGAATAAACACATGCATGCCACAATGATAATGTTTTATTAGAGAGATCCATCATGCTTCATCATCATAATTATTATTAATTATTATTAATCATCAATTAAAAAGTTAGGAAATAAGCCATCATTTTCCCTACCCACTAAAGAAAATAGTATATCTCCAAACTAGGAATTAATTAATTAATTAATTAAAAAAAATTAAAGTTAAAAGAGAATAGTTAGATTAGACAAATGATTGCAGTTGGGTCCTCCCTCGTATTATATATAATATAATATATGAATGATAAAAATAAAGACTGATTGATGCCTGCTTCTTTGGTTCCTCTCATATATCTATTATCCATCTCCACTAATTAATTAATTAATTCCATTATTCATTCAATTACTAATAACCAAACTATATATAATCAAGTAATCCGTGTGGTGTGGCCTCTTCAAGATTTATATTGTAGCTTGACCCAATCAAGAAGAATACAATAAGCGTGATGGTATTTGTATTTCTATACATTTATTATTAGTGTATACTTTGAAGAATTAACAGCCAGGGTATGTATGTAGTTAACGGGCGGGCGTCAAAGACACACGCATGCGACTGTCAAACTTAATTAAGAAGAAGATCATCGGATTAAATCGATATAATAATAGTAATCACTAGTCAAGACTAAAAAGATGGTTTGGACCTAATCCACAAAATATTAATTAGTTTAAACTTTATGGACAAGATATATGATGATCATTATTAATATTATAAATTTGGGTGATAGCTTAGCTTGCCCAACCTAATTAATAACGAATTTTCAACTAAAATGTCGGTGTTAATAGTCATTTAAACCTGCGATTTTAATTTCCTTTTACATACCATCTCACCTTTTGGTAATTAATGTTAATCATAATAATGAGTTAGAACAGCTGTTTTTGTTGAAAGAGAAAAAGGACAAGTCATATATATATATTAATATAATAAGCTGCAGGCCGAACCAAAAGAATCACATTGTAAGTATTGTGTAAAGAAATAAAAAGAAGACAAGAGTTGATTTCTTGGTTATGGGGTAAAATTGGGAGTATCCATAATTCTTGGGTTTTACTAAAAACTCACTTTTATGTCAGAAATAGTTAGTAATACGTGGTTGGGTCAAAGCAATTCTTTCTTGAAAACTGTAGCCTGCAAATTAAACTACTAATTAATTTCCCTTTGGCATCCATCTCCATCTTATAATTACAATAAAGAAAGAAGACAATTTTATTTATTTATTATTGTATAAATTGTTAATTTTGGAGGATATATAATTTGGTTTTGCCTGGCAAGGGGTCGTGATCGTTGGCGCCAAAGAAATATAATTAGGTTTAATTATATTAATTCTCTAAAATTGAACATGCTGCTTATGTCTTGTTATGTAATTACTACTGTCTATGATGCAATAAATAAATGGAGCAGAGAGAGAGAGAGAGGGGGGAATGCATTGCATGTGATGAAAAGCAAGCAAGCAAGCAGCTTTATTAACTACTTTTATCAACAAGTAATGGATGGATGGATATATCATATATGTATAATAGACAGACGACAGTGGTCTGCTTTCTCTTTTCAATGTAATAATGCATGTAAAAATCTCATCAGTCACATGGGTGATGGACAAAAGGAGTGCATGCCAATCTGTTCACAAATTCAATTAAACCAGTGGAGGAGTTAATTACATGTTGCTTTTTTTTTTTTTTTATTATTAATTAGGCCACTCATAATAAACCTGGTGCTTAATCAATCATATGTGTAAAATATAAGTAAGTGGGTGGATACCAGAAATCAGTAATCGTCGTCACAAGATCTTTAAAAATGGGCCCCCACCCCACCCATTTGGAAGGTGACAAACAATTTTCCAACTGGTAGACACCACACCACCACTCTCATCAAACTTTAACCCCACTACTATATGTACCTACTTTTATAACTTTATTATTATTATTCTTCAATTATTATTATTATTATTATTATTATTTTCTCTCTCAGCAGTATCTCACAAATTGCATAGCATGCTGTGAAAACATGAAGTGAACAACTTGAGAACAAAGAGACATGCATGCATGCTATAGGAGGAGGAGTTCTAAACATACATCTGTCTGATTCTACTATTCTATATTCTTAACTCATCAGTCGATTGGGGAGTTGGTTCATTTTCAACACCTTATATGAGGCAAAGCATTATATAAAAACAGGGGGGGTAATGTTGTCATTTATCTCAGCATTTATTACCAAAAAAAAAAAAAAAAACTAATGTTTATTTTCCATCCATCATCCTCACAGAAAAACAAAGACACATTTGGTGTCAACCAATTTTAGTTCAAAAGATATATGGCATCAGAAATAAGAAAAAAGGAAAGGAAACAAACAAAATATTGGTCTCCACCACCTTGTCCTTCATTCACCAAGCAAAAGCAGATGGTACTCTTATAAGTTTACCTGCACATCCAGAACAAGAACGGAGTCAGATTGAAAGCAAGATATCCGGTTACAAAAGGTGGAGCAGAAAATAAAGAATTCACAGTTATGGTACCGACATAAAAAAATTAAGCTGCAAGCATAGCCGCGTATACATTGGTCTTCACTCCTACTAAAAAGTATTTAGTTAACTAGGCTGATGCAAATTCTGCCAACTATGGTGAAAGCTCATAAGAATAATTTTGATTTTTGCATAGCATATAAGTAAATAGATATACACCTTAACTTCCCCTAAAATGATTCTATTGGATGCACATCGTCGCAGTCTGTTTGATACTAGTTCAAATCAAATTCCCTCAAAAATAGGTCTTCTTGATGCTATAAATCCTTAGAATTATTCTCACTATCAAGTTTCCTGATGGACTCGTTACATACTCTTCAAGTTCCCCACCAGCTTGTACCAAGGAAGGACTAACACCCCACTAGTACAACATTTCAAACTTCCCAACTGTGCTCGGCAACTTTATATAAATATCAGTGATGCATTTTAACTCATTTTCCAGCCAGCATTCATAGATTGAGATGATTACTGCATATTTTTTAAAAACGGGGCCAAAAAATTTCTCACTCAATTATACTGAACACAACAGCTATTCATGCCCTAAGCAGGCCTCATAAGCGCACAGAAGGATAAACATTCTAGGAACTTTATAATGCCGATCACATCAATTTAAAGGAAACATAAAACGAGAAGAATGAAAAGTTTCGCAATTCTATTTATTATTCAAGCAAAAAAAAAAATGAAATAGACATGCCTAAGACATATTTACAACAATAGAAGATCATTAATATCAGTCTATCACTAACAAAAGTTTTGTTAGTAAGAAATTGCTACGACTATATATGATTCTAGAATTAATCCAGAGATGATTATATAAATCAATGTCAATCGAGATGCAGGTAGCATTCATTCAATCACTTTTGGCACTTTCCTCGGTCATCGTTTTACTGAAGCTCAAATATAGAATCATATAGAGTTTTGAATGGTCAACTACTCCAGAAAAAACTTGTGTTAATGTTCCCTTTTAAACAAATCAATGTTATCCTGAATCTACATAAAATCCATTCAATCATTACATAGTAAACAATTGTCACAAAACAAGATAATACTGGTAAACAGGTATGCTAATTAACAGATCCAAAAATAGAATGAACCTAACATGAAGAAAATCATTCGTCACCATTAGATTGAAAAAACAATTGCAATTCATTTCCATCAAAAAAAGAAGCCAGATCTACATTCTAGGGTTCGTAAGCCAAGTGCAATAAAGAAAGACAACTTACTTTCCCAGGTGCCTCTGCACAAACCGAGAGTTCTTCGCATCCTCCTCTGGGAACAATCAAAAGAATCGTCGGTACAGCTATAAAGTTTATGCACAAAACATGAAAAAACAAACTAACCGGTTAGGCCGAGGGATAACTTGGTGATGATGGCTCCAGTAACAGCGAATCCCACAAGGAAAGGCCAATTGCGATTCCATTCTCTTCTGAAGAACACTGGCCATGGATCAAACTTCCTCATCTCGCCGCAGTCGTTGCGTTGATTCGATTTGCTTTGCTGGTCTCTCGCCTGCTCCTCTCTCTCTCTCTCTCTCTCTCTCTCTCCCTTGATCGACCGAGTTTAAGAAAGGTAGAGAAATCAATTGGATCAGCAAGCCCAAATTGCTGTCTTTTATGGGCCTACAAATTCAGCTGATAATGTTTCTATTTCCCAAATTTTAAAACAAGTGTTTATTATGGACTTGGCCCAGTAGGCCCATTTATCCGAGTGTTGAAAAAGAAATTGCACGAGTGTGAAGTGAGTATCCGACCGTTATTGTACGCTGCTGCTTGCCCTAAAACAACCGAGGTTAGAGCGATGGGGAAGAAGAAAGGAGATGAAAACCCTAAGCCAAGTGAGAATGAAGAAGGCCGCAATTTACTGGGGTCACCGAAATTCAAGAAGCTGGAGAACGGCCGGTTCAAATGCGTAGAGACCGGTCACGAGCTGCCAGCCCACGCCAGAGACTCCTACGCCGACTCCAAGCACTGTCGGCTTGGTCTCATCGACTCCGCCCTTTCCCGCAATAAGCCTCCTCTCAATATGTTCCAACAGGACCCCGTTTCTCGGTAATTCCTTTCTCCTTAAAAAAGTTTTAATTTTTTTCTCCTTTTCGATTAAGTAGAAGAAAGGCAGAAGCTTTCGAGATCAAATCGTATTCGTATCAGTTCTGTTCAGATTCAAAATAAGCGTCAAGTTCGGGTTTCGTTCAGATTGATACGTATTGAGCAAATTCACACTTTTTGGATTGTGGTTGGCTCAATTAATTTACGCATTTGGGGTTTTTGTTGTTGCAGTTCTAAGTTAATATGCAGATTAACTGGAGATACTATTAATAAGTCGGAGGAGCATATATGGAAGCACATCAACGGGAAGCGTTTTCTCAACATGTTAGGTTTGTCTAATAACTCAACTTTCATGAAACTTGTCATCTTTTCCCCTTGAAAAGTGAAATACTGCAACTGTTGGATGTGCTTCAGCTCATATGTTCTTTGGTAATGTGATCAGAAAAAAAGGAGGCTGAAAACGAGATACCAAACGGAACAATAATGGAGCAAGACAAGGTAAAAGAAAAGAAGAAAAAGCAGAAAAATGCAGATGGTGGTTTGATTAAGAAGAAAAAGAAGACTGTGAAAGAGGAGAAACCTGTTGAAGAAATAATCAATGAAGTTAGGGATTCTACAGAGAAGAGTAGTGATTCAGAAAAAGAAGCCGACTTCTGGATGCCTCCTGCCGGGGAAAGGTGGGACCATGATGATGGTGGTGAAAGATGGGGCTCTGATTCAGACACCGATGAAGCTGCTGAAGAAGGTATTCATCTCTCTTTTCTGGCTAAAATTTATCTTGATTATGTCATTATATCGAGTGGTATTGTGCAAACAGTATTTTGCCAACTTTCATAGCTTGAAATGTACATATCACTGAAAGTTCATCACATAAGAATTGCTAATATTGAAGAAATCTAAAGCTTAGCCATTTTCAAGCTTTAGTCACCGTGCTTGGAAAAGGCAACACATCCCTCCCTCCATCGAGAAGAAATTTTCATTTGTTTATCCATAAAGTAACTATCCATAAAAACTTGATCCTACCTGAATCTGTGAATTACGAAATCTGTTTGATTCTTAGACTAACTGTTAAGATTTGTGACTTTAATTTAGTGTATAATGTTCTTTTTTTTTGTGTCTTATACCAGGGGCCGAGGATGAAGAAGTCATGCATGAAGCTGCGGAGCTATCCAAAAAGTATGTTCAATTGTTTTTCGAATGTTTCTCACGTGTTCTTTTTACCTGAGTTTGGAGATACTGCAACAGAAAAGCAGCTTAACAAGTGAAATAACAGCCCTTGCTTTTAACGAGAGTTGACTTCTCTTGATAAATTTCGTTATTTTTTTCCAACTTGCAGGGCCAAGCGGATGTCCTTAGAAATTGGACCTAGTAGTTTTGCATCAAGGAAGAAGAAAAAGAAGACCAATGTTGATAATGTGTAGCAACTTAGCTCCAAAGTCGAAGCATGTCTCTTCACATTTACGCTGCTGGATAATGGGCTTAAATCATCTGAAGAAAGAGTGTAGAAGGATCTCTGTCATTTGTTCTTGCCTTTTTTTTCAGACAAATACTGTTTGTTTTAACTTTTAAATATGAAGAAATATATTTATAGTTTCTCTTTCTGAAGTAATTTTGGTTTCAGTAAGCTAATTTATTTTCTTATGAGAGCCTTTATGCGAAACCTTAATAATTAATGTAAGCAATTATTTCATTTTCCCAAGTTTTATACTATTTTGATAAGATTAAATTTTATTAGATTTTTTGATATATATATATATAGAGATTAAATTAAAAACGGACGTTCCATTTACCACCAAAAAACGGACTCCAATGACTAAGCGACACGTGTACATATTTAACCATAGCTTTAAATGTTTGTGCTTTCATTAATTGCAATTTGCAATCAATTACAACCTGATAATTGAGAACCGTTTACACATTCATTTTTTCCTCAAGTATCTGCTGTGCAAATATAATCATTTTATTTTAAAATTAAAAATGATAATTCATAATCATGCTACTTTAAAAAAAAGAAAAAAAGAAAATTGCGATAATTATACAAAAATATAGCGATATATATCTTTTTCTATTGAACTATTATATATAATCTATAGTAAGTTTACACTATGTTCATAATTTTTTTAATGTTATATGGTAAATAAAAAAAAAAACTAATTGACAAATTTAATGTTTATTTATTTAATTAATTAACTTCAAATAATTTTATCTCAATGAGCAACGATTCAATGAAGCAAATTCCCAAATCTCAAATGTGCCAATTTCCTAGTCAAGTTTAGGGTTTCTTTCTTCTTTTTTTTTTTTTTTGGTAATCACTTTAATTATTTCTTCCGCATTATTATTATCTCTTTTTTTATGTTAACCAAATATTTTTACACTAAATTGATTTAGTATATAATTTAATTTATTGCATTTAATAGAAAATATTCATAAAATGACCATGTACATTTTATTAACGGAGAGAAAAAAAATGGAATATGAGTTTATAGTAGGTCCCACAATAGACAACATGATAATTCATATTTTATTAAAATTAATTCCACATGTCATTTAGTCAGTGGCATCCGTTTTGTTCAGTTTATCGGGTGATCCGTTCCTAATTAGAACCCATATATATATAGTTAACTACGTACGAATATATACGATGGGAGTTGATCATATACTTGAATGAATGTGAATGGGCAAAGAATGATAATAAGTATAGTTGAAAGTATTTAAACTAAAAATTCATGAACCGAGTTTTTTATTCCATCTGTCTATCTCTTCAAAACCATGCATCCACCCCCCCCCCCCCCCAACAATATTAAGTATGTTACAGGAACAGTAGATTTAGGGATTCAGTTTTTCAAAGACACTAATACAAACTTGATAGGTTTTAGTGATTCTGATTGGGGCTGGGGATATTAGTGACAGAAAAAGCACCTCAAGTGCATGTTTCTTTTTGCGGAATAATCTGGGTTTCTTGGTTTAGTATAAAGCAAATTTGTGTATCTCTCTCAACAGCTGAATCAAATCATGTGGCTGCTGGAGGATGGTTGTGGGTCAACTAATTTGAGATGAAACAAATGTTGGGAGATTATGGGTTGACCAGTGATACCCTGAACCAAATATTGTGAAAATACAAGTGC